TCAGTAAATCGCCCTGAGTTCAGATGGATGTGATTGACAGTTGAATTAGCCAATCGGTGACACACATAGTCCATCCACATCAAAACAAATATCTGCTTATGAGGGAAAAAGAAAAGCAAAAAATATTAATGAGGGAAGCACATTTACACTCTGCGGGGAGAGTGTAAATGACACATGACCAAGTGATGTCGCTCATTTCACCTGCATCACTGAAAAGAACTACTCTGATGTGTCTGGACTTGTCAGGTAAATATTTTATGGTCAATCATATTCTAAGTTGAAATCACATGGAGCTGTAATTTATTTAGATCCCGATGGTACTTTTTATTGTTTTGAAAATGCTATATTTGCCCAAAACACTGCACATCGCATGAAGCTGTTGTGTCCAGTTCTGTATCGTGTTTTTGTACATTTATGTTGGAGCATGGGTGACGTTGGCTTGTTGACAGAGCCTTGGACAGAATCTTACAGCTAACTGTAAAGAGGGTTTGAATAGATGACTCAAACATGCATGGATGACATCGAAAACCTCTTCAGACATGGTTTCGATGAACATTATAACATGGTAGAAAGCTTAAAAATAAAAATCATACAATATTCCTTCTTTAAACGGTGCATTGTGTAACGTTCCTGGTGCAGGGTCTTTTTCTTTTTTTTTCTTTTTTTTTTTCCATGGAGATTGTATTGCTTTGTTTGAAATGTTCAGACTTTAAAACATTAAACTTATCTTGCATTTATTCAGTGACAGGTGTTATTGCTTAAAAAAAACATGAGCAGGGTTGCCTCTCCACAGATCTGACGTGTAACTTGGCTTGGTGGTGACACTTTTTTTTTTTGCCTCTATAGAGATAGATATGTTTAATGCAGTACTGTGGAGCATTCTGGACTAAGCAACATCTCCATGGAGACGAGGAGGTAACGGACCCTTCATCATTACAAAGTGCACCTTTAAATTAAAAAAAAGTAAATAAATAAATAAACCCTTCTACAAATAGAATGATGATGTATTTTCAGATTTCCATGTGGTGCTTTTGACCATGTGAACCTGATGAACACTCTAAACATGCATGAATCCAGTGGCACACAGCGCTCACACAGCACACCTCACACTGTGTCTGATCCACTACAAAATCATCCACACAAACCATCTCGTCATAAATACAGCATATTAATAGAATTATGTACATGTCATTATTCGATTGGAGGAAGATCCCGACCCCGTCTCCAAACTGTTCAAGACCGTTCACAGGAGAAAAGACAAAGTGCCCAAAAGGTGCGCGCCTAACGTGCAACTCAAACACAACTCAAACACAACTCAACTCCTCCAACAGTTCCTACATTTGTACAAGTGAAAAATAGAGAGGTAATTTTCAGGTGTATTTAGAAAAAGTTCCAAGTAAGGGAGGGCATCTGGTGTCAGTACATCTCTTAGTAATATACATTTTCCTGGTCTAGTCCTGGTTTAGTCCTGGTTTAGTCCTGGTTTAGTCCTGGTTTAGTCCTGGTTTAGTCCTGGTTTAGACCTGGTTTAGACCTGGTTTAGACCTGGTCTAGATTTAAGCCCAAACCAAATGTTAGAGGATCAATTTCTGCTTGGTCCAAGTTCTGTCATTGTGTCCTTAGGTAAGACACTTCACTCACATTGCCTCGTATGAGACTGGTGAGTGTTGGCGGTGGTGGGAGCAGATTGGCAGACTTGTTTCTGTCTGTCTGCCTCAGGGCAGCTGGGTCTACAAAAGTATCTTGGCGCCACAGAATGTGGAGTGAATGGAGAATGTTAGAGTGAAACAAGCGTGTAAAGCACATTACACGTGTAAGGCATTAGGATGAATATTATTGAAAGTGTCTCTTCATTGAACATCAAATGAACATCAGAGTCTCAAAATTCTGTATATTTTGTATATTCAAATTGGTTACAACACTTTGTGTATGGACAAAATGGCTGCTTGGATTTTAAAATAAATCATACCACTACATGTGATTTAGCTCAGAAATCTTAGGCCTTCCCACTAAACAGAACTACACCTGAAAATTAAACTCTTTTTCACTGTGGAACCATTGATAAAAACAAAACCACAGAGTAGGGACATGTGCAAAGATCAACCAAATGATGAAGACTATAGTGAGGCAGAGTGACAGTGGTAAGGCAAGAGACCATCAGGAGATCGGCCAAACACTTCAAAGCATAACATCCACAAGAGGAGAAATAAAAGGAGGAATTCCACACGTGGCAGCGTCAGACGTTCTGTGGAGGGGCCAAACCAGCGCCAAAATCCAATGATTAATACTGACAGAGTACAAAGTGTGAGATCTGATCTTCAGCACACCATCAATGAGTGTGACAGTTCTAAGGCTGTGCAATGTCAAATGATTATCACAATGTCAAATGCAGAGTCCACGGTGAAATCAAGACTTAAAGATCCAATAATCTGCCGTTAGTTTAATGTCACTTTCTAGTTGGGATGGAAAAGTGCTCCTCCATGTTTTTAAAGTCCAGGCATCTTTACGCCTGACCAACTGCAGCCATTGTGAACTGAACTGAAGTGAACTGAGGGAGAGTCACCCACAGCGTTTAGCTCCAGCCAAATGAAGCTAATTGAGGCAAGCAGTTATAGTGGATAATTATAAGTCCAAACTCGTATCTGGAAATCCAAGCATGTGTATCATAGCAACTAAAGAGCCAAACAGCCTTTTCAGTGTTACTGCTTTGGCAGGGGCTCAAGTCAATCAAACCTAATGCTAGCAGGAGTGACCTCAGGAAAACAAGGCTCCTGATTGGTTTGGTATTAATGTTCATATCTTCATTTATGTGAAGTAAAACACCAGGATCAAGCAGAGGGGGGGCTATGGTTATAAGCCTGATTTCCCTTGCTTATCTGTGTGATCTGAAGAGCATCATATAGGACCTTTAAGAATTTCACCGATGTAGAGAAAATAAAATGTAAAAGTTGTGTTACTAATTTACTTCTAAACGTATCAAGTGCTTAAGTTTAAGTTCATAAGAATTCCACGCGCCTCATCTTGAAACATTAGAAAGGGAGGAGGGGTCTGCAAACACAAGCCCTCCAATTGGTCAACCTCAATCAGGAGTGACCAGCGGTTTAACCAATGAGAGGAGAGAACTCTTAGAAGAAGCACAAAGTCGCTTTATATTGCTGTAAAACCCCACTGTGTAACATTTCAGCTAAGAAATATAGTAAAACCAGGATTTTTTTTTCATTACTGGTGTTTTTATTGGTCAAAAATATCTTGAAATAACTTATATTCTGACTGTGAGGTGGCTCGCCTCTCCACAGACCTGAGGCCTATACTGCATACATTTTCAGATCTGTTCAAATACTTCCTCATCACAAACAGACCTGGAGTTGTGCTTTGATTCATTCGCACATGTTTAACACACAAACCTTGCACATTTAGAGTTCTTTTTCAGAGTTCTTTTCTCAAACTGAAAAAACTCAGTTCCTGATGATAAGTGGAAACACAGGAAGTGCTCCACTGTGTTTTTAAACTCCATACATCTTCACTAGAATCGTTTGGGTAATTTTCAGCCCTGGAGTTGCCAAACTTTGAAGCTACATCTATTATTTCAGCCTTGTTGAAACATCTTCACTCTTCAGTGCACCAGAACACACTGGAGACTTTCTGTGGTGATCTGAACTGCACAAAAGCAATACGATTATTAAGATTATTCTAGTGTACTGTTCACTTGACACCAGGGGTCTTCAAGCTGTTGTCCCTACCAAGTAGCTCAGCAAGAGGTTTCTGAATTTTATGTATTGTGGAAAATAAGTAAAATAAGATTAATTATGTGTATAATGTATCATTTTGGTGCCTAAATCGGTGCACCGATAAATGGATAATGTTTTTTCATAAGCCTCAATGTTTCCCATCTAAGGCTCACCGTGGCTTTTATATTTACTCAGTTTTTTTGTGACTGCCGAAATGGGCAGCTCTCTGGCATTTCTGTTTCGTAAAGGTAGCTCACTGGAGAAAAAAGACTGGAGACCCCTGCTCTACACGTCCCCCTCTACACGTCCCCCTCTACACGTCCCCCTCTCTACACCGTCCCCCTCACTACACGTCCCCCCTACACCGTCCCCTCTACACCCCCCTCTACACCGTCCCCCCTACACGTCCCCACACCGTCCCCCTCTACACCGTCCCCCCCTACACCGTCCCCCTACACCGTCCCCCCTACACCGTCCCCCTCTACACCGTCCCCCTCTACACCGTCCCCTCTACACCGTCCCCGTCCCCCTACACCGTCCCCCGTACATACCGTACACCGTCGGCTCTACAGCAGAGTAACATAACACTACATCTCCAGAGCTCAAAATGCAGTTCCACCCTGTGATGTCATAAAGCACAAGGTTTCAACTTAACATCTCCTTTAACCTTTAGTTCAGTAAAGATTAAAGACAAATTTGAACTCTTCCTGTTTGACCACTTCATGATTTTTGTTTGAACTCAGTCTAAATCTGCAGGGCTTTTGAGCTAAACGTGTGAATGAAACAAAACACAGCTCCAGGTGTGTTTGTGATGAGAACACTACATTAGAACATAGATGAGATTATAGTATAATTTATTTTGGGTTTTTTTTAAACGAGTTGAGTTTATTGACTGAAATGTTCCACAGTGGTTCTTGAATGAATGATCAAAAACAGTGATATGATCTTTGTTCTCCCACCTTCCTACCATTTAGCTTTTCTCTGGTCCTTCCCAAAAGCTGCAAGATGAATGACGGAAGCCATTTTGTTATTTCTCGAGGTTAAGGACGCAAGCAGGGATAAAGGGACTGCAGGGGCGGGGCTTCTGTGTGTTCTTCTCATATGTACACTCGGATACAGGCACTTGGATCATCTTTGGTTGGAGTGGGACCAACATTTGGGTGAGGAGTCCACAGTGCTCCTGGGGGCCGCGGGGCCATTTCTGTCCCTTCACAGGTAAGTTCTGATATAGTCCTGGCTCTTAGCCCTCTGACAGCGCCACCTGTGGGCAGCACACAGCACATGTTAACTGGGTTGGTCACAGTGGAACAGTTTAGAGAATGCTTTGAAAATCACCCCAGAAATGAATAGAAGGAAGTAAATGATAAGCAAGCGACAAAGCAAAGTGGAATATGTGATCATTTAAAAACCACCCCTCTTTAGAATCATCCAGTCACAGCTGCTAATTTGTATCACGCCATTCAGTCAGTTTAAACCTTCATTCATCAAAATTAAGTTTTTTTCAGTTCACTTTTGTATAATCAAGACATTTTAGTCCTTAATAACATTAGGTTGCTTTATGGAACTATTGCTGTAGTATCTATGCATGCTTCTTTCCCTTGCCCATGCTTCTTGCTTGGTTCTTGGCGAAGGGCGGACACTTTTTCTCTCTTCACCTGCCCCTTGTTCCCTGCTTTGCTTATGTGTTTCGTCTAGTCTAGTGTCTAGTGTCTTATATTTTTGAAACTATGGATTTGATAAGTTGGTCTCTAAATGCAATTTTTCAATGAGGAATGCAGGCAGCTCCAGTCCGCAGAGGACATAGAAGTTTAGTTTATCTATTCGGAAAGATAATTGCAGAACTTTTGCTAACTGGATTAGGCATGGCCCTGATTTTTTGGAAAATTCAAATTACTGAGGCAGCTGTTCAAAGCCCAACTTGGCTGCCCAGAATGACCAAGACGAGAGGCAGAGCTGTGAGAATCTGAACTTGTGACTATGGTCCGGGTTCGTGGTTATTGACCACTGGTTGGATGGACACGGTGACTCTAAACCGCAATATTGGATAACATCTTGGAGAAAATTCAAAGCTTTGCAAAAAGGAATGGACTTGAGACCAATATATGAACAAAAAGAGGAGTTGTGAGAATTGAAAAAGCAGCTGCTCACTCTAAACCCAAACAACGCCAGCCTTATCTAACTGGCCCTCCCCAGCCAGCACCAGTCTCAAGGCCGGTCAGTATCAACTACCCCAGAGATAACAGCAGTGAGACACTCTCCCCCCAAATACCAAACCCCTCGCAGCAGCACCCCCGGCCTGGTGGGCAGGTCTGTTGTATCCAGCCCCCAGTGGCTGTGGATCTGGATGGCTGCTGCCTACATTGGATTAACTCACAGCCCTCCTGTACCCTGCTCTGGTCCTGTGAAATGTTTGTATGTGTTTTGACTGTGCTGATGTCACGGAGGTGATTTTTTCTGCACTCTACCACACTCCCCTCGCCCTGATAGGAGCATGGTCTCAGTCTGTTCTCTTCTTTTCCCTCCTCTCCCTGTCTTCATGTTATGTTGCAGTGTTTCTTCCTCTGCTCCCTGTCTGCCGGTCCGGTCCATGTAGTCTTCCTCATGTATTGTATGGTACATTTGTCATGGATCATGGGGTAACAGGTCCAATTTCGATTCCTTTGTATGTACATGCACAGGTGAAGAAACTGACAAATAAAGGCCAAACAGGTTAGTGATCAGTAATATTGCAGATAAATAGATTAATGACTGTTACTTGACACGTTGTTGGTTGGGCAGATTAACATGCTATACATTCTGCCACTGGATTCATCTGTGTGTCTGTTTGTTTGTTAGTGTGTTTTAGTAAAATGAGTCATGTGCACATTAATCATGAGATACTAGAAAACAATGAAACAAAGTGCAATACTGAGAAATCTGTACAAGCGCGATCAGAGGTGGGAAACACCCTACAAGTATTGAGACTAGAACAAAGGACTTTACGAGGAGAAATCAAAGATCTCTCGCATGTATATGGGCCCTGATACTGTGCTCAGTGGATATTTAGTGCGTGGTGAGCAGACAGTGGTGCTGTTGGGTGCTCTGTACTTGTGCTGAGGTAAAAATGTTTTGCTGCTGACAGTGAAATGCAGCACAGAGCCAATGTTTTGTGATACAGGATTTGAGTTGGAAATGCTGTGCACCCTCTAGTCACTCTGTTCCTCAAGCAGTGTTGGGAAGATTACTTTTAAAACGTATTACCCTACAGATTACAGATTACATACCCCAAAATGTATTTTGTGACAGAATCCATTAAATTACTTAAAATGAATAACGTAATATGAATATTTTGGATTACTTGATTTGCTGTAGAGTAACAAAGACTAGGAAATCTTCACATAAGATGTTTTGTCTGATAAAAGAAAATGAAAAAGCCGAGTCTTTAAAAATATTATTGACAGAAGAGGAGGAGACACGGTCCTCACAGCATGGTTTAGTCCTGTTAAATCCTGTTTCAGACCTGGTTTTAGACCTGGTTTTAGACCTGGTTTTAGACCTGGTTTCAGACCTGGTTTTAGACCTGGTTTTAGACCTGGTTTTAGACCTAGTTTTAGACCTAGTTTTAGACCTAGTTTTAGACCTAGTTTTAGACCTGGTTTAGACCTGGTTTAGACCTGTGTTTAGGCCTGTTGAATCCTGTTTTAGACCTGGTTTAGTGTCTGGCAATGAGTGGAATTACTGAGAGAAAAAAAAAGGGATTTAGCCCCAAATGTGAAAACAGGAAAATACCACCGTGTAATCCATTTATGTCAACAAAGTAACTGTAATCCAATTACCACTCATTGAAACAGTAACTGTAACTGAATACAGTTACTCATAATTTGTACTCTGATTACGTAACTCTGGTACATGTAATCTGTTACTCCCCAACACTGTTCTCAAGTAGTGTATGTGCTGAAAATACTACAACCAAAGTACTCCCACCTCTGAACAGGGCAGAAGGACAGCTGCACTAAAGCCTCAAGGACTATACCAGCACCATAAGGAAGCTCCCGGAGAAAAGCCCTCTGATTGGTCCCCACAGCGAAAGAGAGATTGTGATTGGCAGGTGACAGGGCCAGTCGTGGCTCTTTGTGGGTGTGTGTGCGCTACCTGTCCGTGTCATTGTGCAGTGCTGCCTGCTGTACCTTCTCAGGGCAGAAGTCGGAGGGCGAGCTCTGCCGAAGCTTGCCTGGGCGCCCTTTGATGACTGCGTAGCAGAACATGGTGATGACCATTACAAACAGGAAGTAGCTGGTGTGCATCAGGTGCAGGTTGATGAGCGAACGGTCGTCCTGGTAACACACAAACAAGGACACTAATGTAGGATGTTTTACATAGAGTACTGAGGGAAATGAGAGCTGTCAATAAGAGCAGATGTGTGTGCTGTACTGTGAACCCTTTTATGTATCCAAAGCCTGTGTACAATCTGTTTTTTCTTGTAACAGTAAACTCCACTGACCTTGATTCTCACACAATCTGTCTCTCATTTTTGTGTCTGTTTTGTGTTTGTATCTCCTTTGAAAATACCAGATTCTGTGTATTTTGTTGTTATTGTACAGCCAAAAAAACCAAAGCGTCAGGGGCAGAGGAGTGACAGACATAGAGGCACAAGATGCAAACTCGGGATATAGCGAAAATAATGAGAAGATTTTATTACTCATCTCTCGTAAAGACATAAATTTAAAGTGCAGCATCTCTTCCACATTATCCATAGAAATTGTCTAGTTTGAAGAGTTATTTCAAGAGTAGTAGTAGTTTCAAAGAGTAGTTCCTCACTGTGTCTGTTTACATCCACACAGCGCACGGATCAAGGTGAAGCTGTAGATTAGTGACAGTGACTCTACTTCCTGTGGACTTTATCTCCAATCTTTTATGCTTTAAAAATCCTGTATCTGAAGTACTGCACCACATTTCACCAATAATAATAACATAGTTTTGACTTGTATCTAAACTAGAAGTGCAGAGCTCTGATCTTTTGAACATGTAAGAGTCTCAGAGCGAGTGGTTTTACTGTAGACAGGAAACAGGAAACACTCACATCTTTATATCCTGTGGTCTGCAGACATATCCTGCTGCAGGCTTTGCGATCGGAGATTTTAAGTTCCTTAAGAGTCTCCTCATGTCTGGTGTTCGCTTTTTGTTGCACGTTTAAAAATCTTTTAAGACTGAAAAATCCTTTAGTGTGTGGCGGTCTTTAATTGAGTACAGTTGTTACATACAAGAGGTGAAAGTACTAGAATCCCAAGTTTTATGTATTGCATCCTATGTAGTACTACTGGCCTGATACACACTTGCAGTACAATGAGCTTTAAGTGAGATTGGAGTGACTCACATCGGGCACGATGACGGTCAGCTTGGGGTTGAGGGCGTGGTACACTTTGCCGATGGCGCCCTTGTAGCACCAGAACGGGTTGTAGTCCTGGCTGTACTTTGTGTCCGAGTCCCGCACTGTAGTAAAGACTTTGTACCAGGAGGTGGCATTGGTGTACGTCTCCGGGACACAGTGAGGAGGTTGTCTGTGGAGAGAGGACACTTGGTAGTGAGGTATGTGAAGCAGAGGTAACCACGGTGACCAGCAGAGGTAACCACGGTGACCACTTCAGACATGAGCTTTGCATGAGCCCTGAGTGTTTGCATGTCACTGATGTGTCGTGTCGCTCTGACGCACACTGCACAATGAAAGTGAAACTTAACTGGAACTTCTGACTTTAAGAATGTGAATGCATGCCCTTTACTTGTTTCTGTTCTCTACCCTGTGCCCTCTACTCTGTACCCTGTGCCCTCTACTCTGTACCCTGTGCCCTCTACTCTGTACCCTGTGCCCTCTACTCTGTACCCTGTACCCTCTACTCTGTACTAGAGCCCGACCGATATATCGGTTGGCCGATATTATCTGCTGATATGGGCAACTTTGCTGATAGGGGCCGATATTTCACGAGGGCATGTTATACCTCGTTATAAAGCTTAGACTCTCTACATTCTGTTCATTTAATCCAATTTACAGACAGATAAATGTCCTAATATGTGGCTCCACATCAGTATTTATCTGCGGAGTCATTTGTGTGTGTGTGTCTGTACTGTCCCTGAACACACCACAGAGTCGCGTCACTCACGTGTGTTTGTTTACACCTGCAGACATAGATCCAAACACTGAGATTATTTTCTTTTTACGGACAATCGGTTTGAGTCTGGATTAAAAGGACATTTATTAGTGCAGACTTGTGATGTGAGGAGGAGCCTGTGTGACGCTGAGTGTTGGAAATATGTCGACTCTGAAGCTAGTTTTTGTCATTTGTTATGGGTTAGCTGCTGTAGCTCCCGCACATAAACAGACTGTTTTCTATTGGTCTGTTCTAAAGTGACTGTATTGACCGCATATTTGCTACTGGACCTGCACTGATATGTAAATGAGCTGTGAACAGACGTGTGAATTATGACATTTGCGCATATAATTAATTACCGCGGCGCGCACGTATTTACGGCTAAAGGCTAATAGCGCTAGTTTCTTTACTAGTTATGGGTCCGACGCGAACGAAATGACTCTTAGAGCCGGCTCTTTGAAGGGAACGACGGGAGCCTGATCCTTATTGGGAGCCGTGTTTTCTCTTTCTCTCACTTTTTTTCTCTTCACGCCGCGTGCAGACTCGTGGTTTGACAGCGGCAGCGGCTCAAAACGAAACTTTAAGAAATTTGCGTTTACGTAGGATTAAAAAAAATAAAAATAAAAAAACGAGCATATTTGACTGTAGTTTAGCATAAAATAAATAAGTCCCGGTTTAGTCCTTTTTCAGTCCTGGTTTAGACCTGGTTCAGTCCTGATTCAGTCCTGCTTTAGACGTGCTTTAGTCCTGCTTGCAACAAAACAATCTGAAGAGCCGCTTGGGAGCCAAAAGAACCAGCAGCTTTTAGTGAGCCAAGCCAAAAGAGCCGGTTCTCTAAAAAGAACTGGAATACCCATCACTAGAATGTGATGCAAAAATGCCATTAGTCCAACCTACTGTCTGTAAATATGATGTAAAGAGGCAGAAGAACAATAAATGTTGCCTAAATAAACCCAATTTAAAATCCACCAGAGCCAAACCTAAGTTTTTTAAACAAATCAACATTTACAGTGAATTTTTACATCACTAAATATATCGGTGATTATATCGGCAGCGCCAACTCCCATTATATCGGTTTCATATCGGCCACAGCAAAATCCATATCGGTCGGGCTCTACTCTGTACTCTCTACTCTGTACTCTCTACTCTGTACTCTCTACTCTGTACTCTCTACTCTGTACTCTCTACTCTGTACTCTCTACTCTCTACTCTGTACTCTCTACTCTGTACTCTCTACCCTGTACTCTCTACCCTGTACCTCTACTCTGTACTCTCTACCCTGTACTCTCTACCCTGTACTCTACTGTACTCTACTCTACTCTCTACTCTGTACTCTCTACCCTGTACTCTCTACTCTGTACTCTCTACTCTGTACTCTCTACTCTGTACTCTACTCTCTCTACCCTGTACTGTTGAAAAAAGTGGATCATCCTTAAATGATCTTTGGAGATTAAATAAAAGGCAAAAATATTGTTTACAGGAGTAATCTCAAGTGAGCCCACTCATTCAAGATCTGCCACACTTAAGAATTTAGAAAAGTCTGAGTCTCAGTTCCAACCCTGGCCCAGCTCGGTCGCAGTCGCAGTCCGATGTGCAGAGGCAGGAGGAGAGACTCACACAGTGACGGGGAAGATGTTGCTGTTGGCGGTGAGGGTCATACAGGTGCTAAAGACCACCTGCTCGCAGTGTCCATGCAGCACACAGTCATCTGAGCTCCAGGACACTGGCAAAGTAAACGTGATGTTCACCTCCTCGTGAGCCTCACGCCCTGCAAACACACACACAGCACACACATTACACATAGTAAATATTTGACTAATGCATACAGGAGTCAAATGTGCTCACAGCTGACTGTTTATAGTTTATGGCTGGTGTATTCAGACACACAAACATTCTGGTATTTCTTCAAAAAATATCACATCTTAAAAAAACAAAAACAAAGCTCCTCATCATGTCACCATCCCTAAACTGAAGTGAAGTAGCTGAGGCAAAGGATACAAGTGAAAAGGTGGTTTAGAAAAAGATCCAACTAGTTCCAAAAAGTGAATAAAAGAGAGTACATGAATGTTATTGGACAAACACAAGGCAGGGGCTGACACAGCACTCCTCCTCCTCCTCTTCCTCTTCCTCCTCCTCCTCCACAGAATAACACTACTCCCACAGGGGGCAGCACTGAGGCCAGAGGTCAGCTCTTTCTCTACACACACTCATTCAAAGACAACTCCTCGAGAGGTTAAACTGCAACACAAATCACACACAAGTTCACACTGGACCTGGCGATGCACTGTTATTAAACGGTGCACAGAACGCGTAATAGACAGGACTTTTTAGCGTGTGGCAACCCCAATTGAGGTTGAAAGTCTTTTATTCTGACTAAATCGCCACTAAAATCATCATTTCAAATCAGTATATTTGTTTCATCTCAGGGCCTCTGGACAATCCCTTTTGCATCAGTCTTTTCAGTATGGGTGACATTTTGAAACCACATTCTTGTTGTTCTGGTTGGCTGAGAGCGTGTGTGTGTGTGTGTGTGTGTGTGTGTGTGTGTGTGTGTGCGTGTGTGCGTGTGCGTGTGTGCGTGTGTGCGTGTGTGCGTGTGTGCGCGTGTGCGCGTGTGCGCATGTGTGTGTGCGCATGTGTGTGTGTGCATGTGTGTGTGTGCATGTGTGTGTGTGTGTGTGTGTGTACAGTATGTGTGTGTGCATGTGTACAGTATGTGTGTGAGGTTAGTGCTAGGCCTGTGGCTCTCCAAACCTGATTTACTGGAAGGACGGCTCTGAGTGACTGACAGCTCCTGAGGCATGTGCGCCTGCCAGGACTGTCTTTAAGCAGCAGAAGAACAGGGTTTGAATCATTCACACCTTGTAGCAACAGATAACAGAATAACAGCCAATTGTAATCATTTTGGCCAAGTGTAAAATTGAAGTTTGTGAGCTTTAAGCCATGTTAGAATATTGTTATCTCCTCCAAAGCATGCCTGGAGTTTTGTTTCCTTGTTTTATTCACACATGTCTGAGGAATCCTTTAATATTAGTTTGTCTACATCTCCAAACCTCAAATTGCTCTGTTCCACCTTGTGATGTCATGTACTGCCAGTTTTCAAGTTAACAGCTACCTTTTACTTTTTGTTTGTGTATGGAGTTTGACAACAGAGCAAAACACTTCCTGTATTCTCACACTAGGGGTGTAACAGTTTAATCAGTTCAATCTCTATTCATCACAATACATAAAATTAAATAATTACATGAATTCATTTTTAACTTTCATGACATAAACTGACTAGTAGAGCTGGGCAATATATAGGAAAAAAAGAATCATGATCAATGATTGTGTTTTGCAGACAGCTCTTCAGTTTGGCATTTTATTCACTTTCTGTCCTTCTTTGGATCTTTTCTTGTTTAGAACTACAGTGTAAATGATGTAGGCCACTTATAGACCTGGTTTAACCCTAGATTAGACCTAAAATAGTCCTGGTTTAGATCTGGTGGTACTTAAAAAGCCAAATCTTTTCTTTGAAATTTTTCACACGAAATACCACCAGAACCACTGACTTATTACAACATCAGCCTGTTATTACATTATGGTCTTATTACATTTAAACTTGATTACGTTATTTGGCCAATGTTACATTATCGTTTGCTACACACTATGTTTTTAAAGTCCTTCCTGATGATGATATACACTATAACACATTTACACATGTAATTCACTTTTTGTACCAAACAGCCAAAGAATACTCAGAGTGAATAGCTGCACTGTTTCTGTCAGTGGCTGTAAAGATTTTGTTACTTTAGCCTAGGGTGACCAGACATCCCCGTTTATCTGGGAAAGTCCCAGTTTTGAGCCCTGTGTGTTGTATCGATATATCTCCAAGAATATTTTTTGGTATATATTACTAATTGATTAAGGAAACTCATTCATGCGACACATTTGACATTTTCACTGTTTTGATGATTAAAATGTTTGTGGTTCATATGAACTTTGCACAGGTTTCACAGAAGTGGTTTAACAAACACTTTTAGTATCACAGCCATGATTTATTTTTTACTGAACCATATGGTTCAAACCGAAAGTGCATTGTATCGCGATATGTATTGTATTGTGGTCTATGTATCAAGATATGTATTGTATCAGCAACTTCTTAATAATGATACCCAGCCCTAAACAGGACTATGACAATTTTTGACTAATTTGATGTACCACTACTGTACCACAACTGTACCACTGTACCACCTGTGACCTGAGCCACTGTAACCCACTGAACTACTCTCAAGAAGCACCACGATGCCAGCTGCACTTTCCTAAGTGAAAGGTGGAGCAGTGGAGGACTGACCAGACAGGCCGACCTGCTGCCCCAGCACAGTGGCATACAGGTGGGTGATGTTGCGGGAGTAGCCTCCAAAGGGTCTCTGTGGGTCGAGGGTGAGGGTGATGGGCACAGAGATGTTGATGGGGCCCTGGTCGTCCAGCAGCAGGGGGCCTTGTGGGCTCTGGGGGCTGGGGCGGCTGTGCCCGCTGGTCACTACCAGGCTCTCGGGGGTGGTTGACTCATTCAGGCCGTGTTTGATGGTCTCGTTCTCAGACACACACAGGTCCACCTCATTGAAGCGCAGGAGAAACGTGTTCCAGTCCTACACAAAGCAAACACGTGTTGCAATAAACACACAAGTGTACACAGCCAAGCAAAGGTTTTGTCCATGTACTTGAGCAAAGTTGCCTTGTACAGAAATATTGTATAATCAGCTCTTGAGGTCAAAATAAGTCAGCTGTGCACTGTCTGCATCTAATTCTTAAACTTTTTATTGTCCATATTACCAGAAGTGTGTTGTTAGCTTTACTGTGTTGTGAAAAGGACTAAATACATGGTGAATATTTAGGTAAGTGAGGAATAACTTTGGAGCACCGCAAACTGTTTCAAATTAACTCTTTCACAACAGTTTGCACAACAAAACAAAATGAACTTGTTCTGTTTTTCAGCTCCAGTGTCTTTAAATGAGTCAGGGTTCAGTTTGTTATGTCTGATCAAAACTACATGAAATGAACAGAGGACGAGTGGGAACAAAAGCCAAGTCTCTAGTGTTTGTTTTGAATCAAAGAGTTGCAGACTGCACACAAACTCATGAGCAAGAATGAGCAAAGGATATCTGGGCCCAACACAGGGCTGCAGTATTTAGGTAAAAAAAATAAAATAAAATAAAAAAATAAAAATAAACTCTTCTGACAAGTATTACAATTGAGAGTAGATTATGTGTGTATTATGTGTTTACAGTGTACACTCTGAAACAGAGTCCTGCTCTTGAAACAACTCCAGGAACATGAACATGTGAGAGAAGACTCAGATATGAACAGTCCAACTGATAAAAGAATCACATGTATTTCAGAACATGTTTGTAAAGATCTAAACTACAGGTACAGCAAGAAATAAAATGGTCTTTCCTCAAACACAGTCAAAAAAGTAGAAAAGGGAATTTGTAAATAGAAAGTTATTTTATAGCTTTGAGGATACTAATTGGTCAGAGCCAAGTGTGTATTCTGTGTAAAAGCTGCTATGCCTCTAGTTTACACCTCTACAAACATGGATTGGCTGAGCAGGTCAGATGTAAATGTGCTTGCACGGTGGAGTGGGTCTGACCTCGGTGAGCTCTGGAGACTTGATCTCTTTGATCTTGAAGAAGTATCCGATGGTGAGGAAGGCGATGGCCAGAGCACTCACAGTGACCATGAACAGCACCAGAGGAGGTCGGCTGCTGATGTAAGAGCGCAGGTTCTCCACAGGGTTCCACAGGTACACCTACACAACATGGACACTAGGGCTGTCAAAAGTATCGAAAATCAGATACAAATCTATAGTAAAACTAGTATTGAAACTATACAGACTAGTACACAGCTTAAAGTTAGCCGGAAGGATTCTTCAAATAGGGCCCAAGAGAGAGCGCTAAATGACTCAGACATGCACGAATGTTTATAAAACCTCGTCAGGCATGTTTCCGATGAGAGGAAACACTGGCCTATTTTGTATAATAGCCCTTCTTTAAGCAGTAAGCCTGAATCATTATTCAACTATTTGATATGACGAATTGTGATTTGGAAGTTATACAATGGGCCTTTTATTCTTTGTTAATAATTAACAAATGATGCTTTCCCCTTTCAACTGCCACCAGACATTCACCTGTAAAATGAACACAACTTCCTCCTCCAAACTTTGACCTCTGCTCCAAACCACATGCAAATAATAAGTGAATAATGGACATGGCTGTTACTACTACTACTGCACACAGTTGTGAAGAGTTTGATCTGAGGACTCACGGCTGTGCTCCATGTTGGCTCGTGGGCACTTGTTTTGCATACATGCAGATGTGATGTTTCATAACCTGCACGGCCACATGAGCTGCGCGTGGACAACATGGCGTTATCCGGACACTGAGTGGAACAGCTTGAATCATTGACAGTGCCTCAGACTCTGGGTCATGTCACACTGTAGTGTTTACACAGTTCCACAAAGCGCAGGACCAGTGCCCTCCCCAGACCTACCAGACCTGCTGCGCGCTTTTACGCACACGCATTTTACAAGTTAAAGCTTCTCGTGTTATTTAAGAGGAACTTGACTTTTGGTTAAAACAAAATGTGGGAATGCGGGGATCATAGAAACACACCTTAATATCTGTGACCTACAGTCTTACAAGAACATGTTATAAAATGCTGCCGCTATTTCTTCAAATAGTCCAGACTGAGTTTGGCACCCCGCTGTGCAGCTGTACCTGTGCATTAGCATTGGCCGCTCCACAAACACCAGTGAAGAACGGGAGCTTAATGTCACACTTCTATGATACAAGAATCACAGATACTATCTAATGTGAGAGCTGTCCTCACCATCGTGCCCCGTCCACTGGCGCTAGGGTCAGTTGTGTGAAGCGGCGGCCCACAGGGACAGCGCGGCGGCTAGCCCCGCTGCTGCTGGAGGACAGGAGCGAGCCTGCGCTGCGCTGCTAGCGGGAGCTGAGTGTCTGTGAGCGGCCCGCACTGGAGCACAAGGCGCTGGTCGGATGTGAGTGCTGAAGATAAGAGGCTCCGGGGACAGCCCGTCCCATGCTGCGGACTGCTGCTCCGTGTTAGCCTGTCCACTGCTCCATGTACCGAGGGCTCTGTCAGTTTGGCTCTGCTTCCTCCTGACGCACTGCGTAGTCCGTGCGCCCGTGCGCCTCTCGCGATTCACGCAACACATGCTCCACAAATGACACGTACGGCCCGTGCGCACACAGCGCAGTGCGCAGTTGACGTACATGACGAGACAGCCTCTGCTTTCATGTTTACAAACGCACGGCTCAGCTGCTCGGGCTGCGGCCACGCACTTTGGAGTGGGCTTCCTTTGAAACAGGCCTATTGTCTGTTCACAAAGCCTAAAGTAACCCCAGTTCCACCTGGCACCGAGACACCTGTGTCCATCACATGATGCTTCACATTTATTTCTCCTGTGTTATGGAACCAGCTCCTGCCCATGTCAAAGAGGCCCCCACCGGATATTTCACAATGAACTCATGCCCAGGACAATCAAGAGCACAAATAAAAAAATGTTTGAGCTAAGCTCCTCTCACTTTACCTGTCAACATCGACTTTTCACTTCATCCGCTATTCACAAGTTGTTCCTTGTCCCACTCCCCTCTGGGAAGTGCACCTGTTTCAGATGCCCCTCCCACTGCCCCACTGATGACTGGACCCTGACCCTCCTATGCCCTCATCCATCCTGTTCCATGGGCCCAGATCCTCCCCTTCCCTCACCTGGTTGAATGACCCCCACCCCCCACCCCTGGCACCGTGTTCACCCTTTTTCTAAATTTGTTCTAAAGTCCTGTCCAGCCAGAACCACACGCTTTGACAAAAGAAGACTTAGACTTAGACAAACTTTCTTGATCCACAAGGGAAATGATTTGAACACTGGAGCTCACTCATCACAATATAATATAATAACAAAGAGGAAAAATATAAATATAAAAGTTGTAGGGAGCATTATCTGTTACATAAGGGTAAGCTGTTGTACATCTATATGCAGTATGGTATGAATATAGTCCAGTATCTCACTGTCCTGAGAAGAACTGGTGAGGCAAGTTCAGTCCTGGTTGGTCTATTTTAGGACTTGTTCAGGTCTGGTTCTGGACTGGTTTCAGTAGGCTACTGGTTAAGTCCTGGTTAAGTCCTGGTTCAGCTCAGGCTTAGGTTTGGTTCAGTCCTAATTAGGATGACCAGACGTCCCTATTTACTCGGGACAGTCCCAGTTTTGAGCCCTGCTTCCCCTGTCTCAGCAGATTTATACAAAACCACTGATTTGTTCCAGTTTTATACAAGAAATGTCCCAGGTGTCTCTATTTTGGACCAATCTGATCCCTGCCAACAGTAAAGAGAGATATATTTGTTTAGGTAAAGTACAGAAAAGCTTCTTCTTAAATATGACCAAAACACATAGAAAATGTGACTATAATGACTCACATTAGTGCCGTGTGCAGAACAGTTTTCCTTAACTTCACACTCATTTCACAGTTTTATTATTGCCAACCACCACAAACCAGGGATGTCCCAGTTTTTCATTTTGAAAATCTGGTCTCTGTAGTCCTGATTTAGTCCTGGTACAGTCCTGGTTTAGATCTGGTACAGTCCTGGTTTAGATCTGGTTCAGTCCTGGTTTAGCCCTGGTTATTCCTGGTTTAGATCTGGATCAGTCCTGGTTCAGTCCTGGTTTAGATCTGGATCAGTCCTGGTTCAGTCCTGATTTAGCCCTGGTTCAGTCCTGGTTTAGAATCTGGTTCAGCCCTGATTTAGTCCTGGTTCAGTCCAGGTATAGATCTGGTTCAGTTCTGGTTCAGTCCTGGTTTAGAATCTGGTGCAGTCCTAGTTTAGCCCTGGTTTAGTCTTGGTTTAGAATCTGGTTCAGCCCTGATTTAGTCCTGGTTTAGATCTGGTTCAGTCCTGTTTCAGTCCTGGTTTAGTCCTGGTTTAGATCTGGTTCAGTCCTGGTTCAGTCCTGGTTCCTGGCTCGGGTGTAATGAGCCAGCCTCACCAGTGGGCGGCGGTGGTGTGTGAGTCGTGTCCCTGCAGCATGGGAAGAGGCAGACATTGTTTACAGACACAATGGACACGCTGTAGCTTTGGCTTTAACTGCAGCGGAGTTTGGGCACAGAAAAGTCACATTAAACAGCACACGTATTGAAAAGAAATATAGTTTAGTGCGCTTTATCATCTGCATTTGCACAGGACTGTTGACCGCGGAGGATTTTGCAGGAAAAGTGAGTAGAGGTTGTCATGTTTGTGCTACAGATCTAGGCAGTTAGCCGTTAGCCTGTTAGCTTTTAGAAGGCTGAGGGAGACTGTGCAATCTTTATGCAGGGTGAGCAGATTTTCAGAATTTAAAAAAATTAAAAACTGGGACACCCTCGGTTTGTGGTAGTTGATAATAATAAAACTGTGAATCGAGTGTAATTTATGAAAATTGTTCTGCACTCGGTCCATTCATGACTTACACGTGTCACTATAGTCACATTTTCTTTGTGTTTTGGGCATTTTTAAGCAGCTTTTCTATATTTTCTTAAACAAATTACAATTTATGCCTCTCTTTAGTGTTGGCAGGGACACTCAAAAAGGGTATTATTTTGGTGTATTCTTTTGTTAGAGTGCTACAGTAGTCCAGATAATTTACTTATTCCAAAGTCCTTCTTGTACAAGGAGTCTGTGCTGACATTTCCATGCAGAGACTGAATATATATGCCTGTATAATGATTTTTATACACAAACTATAGTGGGAGGCGACCGTGGTTTAGACTTAGTGCCTCTTCGTTGGTGCAGCCAGGCCTCTTGGCACGTTGCACAATTTGATCCGATTGTGACAAGGATCCCCTGGATTCATCTCACTCCTCTTACAGGAGCGTCCTGCTGGTGTGATCAGGGTGATGAGTCGTGAGTCAGTATAGCCCTATCAATAAGTCCTTGCCCTATTTAGTTAATTGATTAGACATATAGATAGAAATAGAATATCTTGTACAAGAACTGAACCTGTGTCTGTGTCCCTCAGCTGTAATCTAGTCCCTGTTTTCTGCCTCATTGTATAGTGAATTATAATAGTACAATAATAAAATATAGCAGTACATCAATAACATCATAGCAGTAGTTATACACTACCTAAACCTAGTTATTTATCCTAACAAGAGGAAGGAAACTTGTTTATGCGACACATTTGATATTTTCACTGTTTTGATGATTAAATTAGGTGTGTTTCATATGAACTTTGCAGCGAGACCTAACCTCCAGAAAGTTCTGTACTCCAATTTTAAGGTTACAGGGGGGACCGACTCCCTCCCCCGACTGATTGACTAAAGAACTAACAACTACAACACTACAACTTTTAAGAGCTAATTAAATAATGCATTTTTATGTTGAATTCATATCTTTCTTTGGTCTTTTTGTAGGATTCCATTTTTGTGCTGTCCCTCCTGGATGCTGACCTGCAGACGTCCTTCACAGACTGTCCATGCTCTATTCACACTCCTGAAAACACGTTTAGCTCCGCTGTCCTCACAAACCCGTGTCCAGACTGTCCATGTGTTAGCTTCACCTCTGTATTCCACCCTTTTTCCATCAGCTCCACATCCCACCCGCCTCTCCCACCTGTCTCCCCTCTCTCCCCCGTCCCCTCACTGGCCCTCCTCCCTGCCCCCTCACCAGGCCCTCTTCAGCCTGGCCATGTCGGAGCAGAGGTTCATCGTGGAGTACGCCAAGCGCGGGACGGCGGGCTGCAAGAAATGTAAGGACAAGATCGCCAAGGGGGTGGTGCGCATCGGCAAGATCGTGCCCAACCCGTTCAGCGAGTCGGCGGGCGAGATGAAGGAGTGGTACCACGTCAAGTGCATCTTCGAGAAGCTAGAGAGGGCCAGGGCCACCACCAAAAAGATCGAGGACATCACCGACCTGGAGGGCTGGGAGGAGCTGCAGGACGAAGACAAAGAGCTCATCAACAAACACGTGGCAGGTGAAGGCTGCATTTATAGAGGAGGGAGTAAACGCTGGCATTAAAGGTACGATTAGCATACATCTTAGCATACAGGAAGGAGATGGAACAATAAAGGGATAATATTGCAGTTGTTGTTTTGGAAATAGTCTAGATTATATCTATTAAAAATGACCTGTGGGCTCAACAACATCAAGGGTATAAAGTAATATTTCTGCACTTTTTGGCCAATGGACATCCTGTGATGTGTGTTTTGTTTTTCAGACTTGATGACAAAAATCAATGCCAGTCCAAAGAAGAAGGTCCAGGCCAAGCTGAACACCAGTGGTCAGCTCACATCGCCCCCTGCTGCTGACCCAACCACCAATGCCCCGCGCAAGTTCTCTGGATTCACTGGTATGGCTCACTCACTCCTTATTTAGCCTTCAAATGTCCACAGAAAGACAGAACAGAGAAAGACACTGCCAAACCTTATAGAACCATTTATGTAGCAATGTTTTTTTTTTTTTTTGGAATTTGTGAACAATGTCTACCCAACACATTTTTACCAATGCTCACTTGTCCAGTGCCTAAACTCAGTCTGAGACTCTCTTTTTATTTGTTTATTAGAGTTAGAATTAACGATCGATTTTCAATTATTCATGAATATTTTTATATAATAAGTATAATCATTATTATTACTATTACTCATCTGCATAAATAAACTCACCTTAAACCATAACCTCTATAGAGCCACATCAGTCTGTTTGACATTGTAATGTATTTAATGCTGCTTTGCGCAAGTCTTACAGAAACGAAGCTTAAAACCACATGGCTAATTTGCATAAACTAAGCAGAGAAAAAAAAAAAAAAACAGCTCTTGTGTGCGGATGCGGTTCAGCTCCTGTCTGCCTATAGGACACAACTCAGTGGAATATAGGTGTTCTTTCTGTGACAGAGGGATGTTGATGCTGATGCTGATGGTGAGTCTGTTGTGTGTGTGTGTGTTGCGTTGGAGATGGTTCATGTTTTCAGAGATCATATGTGTGCAGGTTTAGCGCAGCTTTTTATGTTGCAGTAACCGGAATACTGCGTATACATGCACCATGATGAAACCAGGACACTGATGTGCATGTAAACACACTCACTGAGTGCTGTAGTGATCTCCAAGGAGGTGCCAGAGCCGAAATGTGAGACTGAGGCCGCAACTCCAGTGTTTGCTCTGTCAGACTCAGCTTTGTATCTATGCACAGAAACCCACATTCGGTTTGTTGATTAGAAATGAACGTAATCGATGAAACTCTTAATGATCAATTATCGATTAGTCGACTAATCATGCCCATCCCTAAACTGGACCCTCCCCCTTCTGTCCAAGGCTCAGCCGGTGAGATAGAACAGTGTTTGAAACACAGCAAACAGCCAAACTGTACATGGTGCTGTACATGGTGCTGTACATGGAGCTGTACATGGAGCTGTACATGGAGCTGTACATGGAGCTGTACATGGAGCTGTACATGGAGCTGTACATGGAGCTGTACATGGAGCTGTACATGGAGCTGTACATGGTGCTGTACATGGTGCTGTACATGGTGCTGTACATGGTGCTGTGCTGCTGCTACTACTGCTGCGTCTGCAGAGCACTGGGAGCACATTGTTTTTCATGTGAAGATGGGACTGGGGTCCAGTGTCTGAGCAACAAACGTAACTACTGAAGATTCACTGCTAATCTTTGTTATATATTTATTATGCCTGTTTTAGTATTTAGTAAGTCTTTTATTTATTTTGTACACATACTGACATCTTTAGCATATTATCGAGACGAGTGTTACTTAATGTGTGGTTTTGTCCCCTTGTGTAGCAGCTAAAGCGGGCCCCTCGTCCGTCAGCCTGGGGTCCTCTAGCTCCGCCCCCTCGACTCAGGGCAGTGCTCTGTCTGCCCAGCTGTGTGACGCCACCCACAAGGACTGCCTCCTCAGAGAGTTCCGCAAACTGTGTGCCCTGGTGTCCGAGAACGCCAGCTACAACACCAAAACACAGATCATCGAGAGGTTCTTGAAGAAGGGCTCTGGAGGAGGTATGGGACAGGCCTTACACAATTTAGCCTATTAAATCTATTCATCTGTTATTCATATTATATCTTCTAGTAAATGTCTAAAAATGTAAAGCTAGCAAAGGTTTATTTCTGCTGCTGTGTGACTGTGACTTTTTTAGTGTTGATTGATTGCTCAAATGAGTATCTAGTTTCAGTAGTAGTTTTAGTATAGAATAGTATCAGATTTTTCTTACTTTTGACAACCCCCATCTACTAGTAAGAAAATGCCAAAGAGCTGTTTGCTATTCAAATTCCATTATTGAAAATGAATTGTGCCGTTCTTGGGACACTTGACGTTCTATGCCTCCAGTGTCTTCTGCATTATATTGGGATAAATATGACTGCAGGCTTTCACCACATTCTACAGTGACGTAGAATACTACAGATGGAGGCTCTGGTCCTTAAACTCCTCGTGTGTGTGTGTGTGAGCAGATAAGTTCCATGGGGACCTGTTCCTCACGGTGAAGCTGCTGCTGCCTGGAGTGGTGAAGAGCGTGTACAACCTTAACGACAAGCAGATCGTCAAACTCTTCAGCCGCATCTTCAGGTGTAACCAGGAGGAGATGGTGCGCGATCTGGAACAGGTATCTCATAACGTTACTCTACAGTCAGACTACTGTAGAACATTGTGTCTTTGGAAGAGTATGGTAAAGCTTGCCAAGAGCCAAACCCCACTGAACCCCCAACCCTACAGTCACTGTACTTCTCCATAGTGACTCTATGGTAAGACTAGGCTGCCTAATAGACTGCTCCCTGCCACACATGGTTGTTTTGTCCTGTTGAGTCCTCTTGAGTCTTTGTCCTCTGTCCCTGTTGCTTCAGGGGGACGTGTCTGAGACTGTGAGGATGTTCTTTGAGGACAGTAAGTCCTTCCCTCCTGCTGCCAAAAGCCTGCTGACACTCCAGGAAGTAGATGCCTCTCTGACTCGACTGGCCCAACTCACCAAGGAGGACGAGCAGCAGAGTGAGCTGGAGGACATCGCCAAAAAGTAAGACGGTTTTCACTGGTGTCTTAATTGCTCAAGTCACTGTTTATGTCACAGTACACCTTTGTTTTACAGAAATCACTTTAACCCATTAACCCCTCCCAACAATCTTCAGTAAATGGGCAAACGTTGCATTAACTTCATGTCTCAACTTTTCAACTAACTCCACAATTCTCCTGTATAACTCTTTTTTTCCACAGATGCACCAGCAATGACCTGAAATGTATTATTCGTCTGATCAAACATGACCTGAAGATGAACGCTGGAGCCAAACACGTGTAAGTCTCAACATACACATTACATACATCCAAGTCCTCCAAGGGCTGCTCCACTGTGTGTCTTTCTGTCTGTATCCACTGTCTTTTAACTGTGTATTCACTCAAATATAAATGTATACTTTAACAAACTCCAACTAGTGCAAAGTGAACTCTTAAAATCTAATATCAGTTACTGCAAAATCATCAGTTGTTGCAAACCACTAAACTAAACAGTAAGCACCACGTTTTTCACTACTAAACTGTGCATATGTGGGGATTTATGTTTTCCCAAGTGGTTGTACAGTGCACGTACATGCACATGCACACATACACATTTCACTTTTTCCATGTGTTTTTCGTGAGGAACTCTTCCATATAGTGGCGCACACACCCAGGGCGTACACTGACCAGTGGGCCCATGTAGTTTTACAGCTCCGCTAAACACTGTCACTGTGTTGTCCGTTCGGTCTTCCTCACATCCTCGTCTCAGTGTCTTATTGTCCCTAACAGATCATCCTGGCTCCTGAACAGTGTTGGTTTGGCCTATAGGCTCTAAAGTTTAGTTTTTTTAAGTGTCCCCGCTTTACGCTCGGGTCGAGAATCTAACCATTATCACACGAGGGGAAACCCCAGTCCTCAGATCAGAGTGAGGAGAGAGAGATACCCCCAGACCCTGCCCTCTTCTTTTACTTTTCCCTTACTCTCTCCTTTAGTCCTCCAGACCCTGCCCATCCTCACCCCTTAAGGCAAATGCCCACTGAACACTGCGCATTGTAAAGGAGCGTTTTAGATTACTTCTAAATTGAGAGACACAGTGTGAGGCTGTGAGAGAGGAGGAAACGCTGGTTTAAGGAGCTTATAATGAGTTTAGCAAAAGACAAGAGTTTCCCTGCTCAGAGGGAGGAGGAAAAGGAGGTATTCTTCTGGGTTGAACACCAGTGCTGTCCCTGCCTCTGCTGCAACTCTGAATCTCTGCTCACTGTTTACAGCTCCTTTTGTCAGTCACAGAGCAGAGACATGTCTGTACTCACCACACAAGTACAGATTGCATGAGTTTTCAGATGCAGCGTCCTGATTCTATCAATTCCAACCGTGCAACACTCTCCTCTTTAGTTCTTTAGGTACTGCCCAGTTCAGCAGCTCTATTTAAATGTGAACAAAGTTTAGGTGTTTAGTTCAACTTCAATCATCCATTCAATTTGACTTTGCAATACCAGCACAAATCCTGATCTTCAAGACTCTTGTCCTTAATATGTTGACTGTGTGCAGTCTGGACGCTGTGGACCCAAACGCGTATGATGCATTCAAGGCTTCAAGGAACCTGGGAGACGTGATCGAGCGTGTGCTAAGGAACCAGCAGGAGGCATCCAATGGCTCGGGCCCCAGGAAGCTGCTGACCATAGAGGCATCGCTTATGACCCCAGTGCAGCCCATGCTGGTGAGGAGGACACATGCATCATCATCATCATCATCATCATCATGATTACTCACAAGCTACAGTCAGCTACAGTACATAGAGCAAATGTGTTTAGCCCTGCAGGAGGCACATGAGAATTCTATTAGAAATGTTGGAAGGCCCCAACTGTCTAAGTATGTATTATGTTTGTTGGCGTTTACTGCTTTTACAAGAAAGATCCAAAGTGGCTCAAGGGGAAACAGTAGCTCACTGATGAAAGCAGGGTCAAACTGAAAGGCTGGAGGATTGATTCTCGTCTGTTGTGTCCTTAGGCAAGACACTTTACCCACCTTGCCTACTGTGATACTGTGGTAAAATTGTAGTTTACACCAGAGTATGGAGTGAATGAATAATGACTACAGAGTAGTGCTTTAAGAAGCTGTAAATCACATTACAAGTGGCATTATTATTATTATTATTATTATTATTAATGCAAAGTAATACTGGCCACTGTGCTCCATTTTCAGCTTTTCAAAATTAAATGTGTAAATATAGCAAATATAATTAATTTACATTATACTACAATCTACATGATATTACACGACTAGCTTTTGTGTTTATGCGTTGTTAAGTGACCTAAATAAATAACATGTATCATCATCATTATTATTCTTTTAGATATTGTCATCTTAAAATGACTGGTGAGGGGTTGGATCTCAAGAGGTCATTTGCCAGAAAACTAGTACTGATAAAGACCACTTATTTATTCACATTGCTTTTGTGAAACTCCTAACTCCTGTCACCTTGTCCCAGAATGCTTTGCTCTTTGCTATCACATTCTTTGTGTATTATAGGCAGAGGCATGTAAGTCTGTGGAGTACGCCATGAAGAAGTGTCCTAACGGCATGTACTCAGAGATCAAGTACGATGGGGAGAGGGTCCAAGTGCACAAGAGCGGAGACAGCTTCAGTTATTTCAGCCGCAGCCTCAAGCCCGTCCTGCCTCACAAGGTCTCACACAGCACATACACTTTAAAGAACACATACTCTGCACCTTTTACTTTGAAAGCTTTTAAGCATGATAACACTCTTCTCTCATCCAAAACATACCTGGAGTTGTGTTTTGCTTCTTTCACATTGGTTTCAGTAATCCTCTGTGAATAGTACTTTGCCTCTCCTGAACCTCAGAAAATAAGTAGTTTGAAAATTCCCAGGTTTCTTGCCTCACAGGTAGAAATCATGTGCAGTTTTAGATCCAAAAATAACCCTCAGACTTACTTTAAGCATAAAGCTAACATTAACATGTCGGAGCATGTTCATCATTACTTAATTTGCCATGGATTCTACCTGGACGACTGAGGGATTGTACACACGTTACTTAATTTCATATTTTTCTAGCTGCACTAGACACCCAGTTTCAGGGAGCACTGAAGTTGAGAAGTAATGTATGGTTCCATAATTTTCTGAAACATATGATAAAATACCAAAGCAAAGGTATTCGAGTACATTTAAACTATGCATAGTATTTGTCTTAAAATATGACAGACATGTCCTGATAACAATAATAAAAATGTTGCAATCCATCAGTCCAAAACTGCAAAAAGTGAATGGGCTGTAAAATTAAACTCAAAAATGCAGAAATATCACCTCTATTGTTTGATAGCACACTGCATTAAAGGTTTACTGTGTAACTTTTTGGTTGGGGGTCCTTCACCTGCTTGTTTCTATGGAGATGTCATTGCTCCCCCTGGAATGTTACACAATATGACATTAAACAGCTCTGCCTTACATTTATTCAATTACCAGTGGTTTTGTAGCTCAGAAATACCTAGGGACAAAGGCATTCTGGGTCACTCTCCACAGATCTGACCTCTAACTCAGTCTGGTTTGGTCTTCATGAAGATAGAAAGGTTTAATGCCATACTGTGAAACATTCCAGACAAAGCAAAAACATCTCCATGGAGAAAAGCATTCGATGGACCCTCCACCAGAAAAGTTACACAATGCAGTGCAAGTGTCACATTGCTCACCAAATAGATATTTTCTGTTTTATTATGTGTAATTGTGTTTGTTTTTTGTACACATAACTTGGCGCTTCCTCCTCAAACCCAGCCCTGACTCTAACATCCTCTCCTCAGGTGGCCCATTTCAAAGACTACATCCCCAAAGCTTTCCCCGGAGGTCACAGTATGATCCTGGATGCAGAGGTGCTGCTGATCGACACAAAGACCAGCAAACCCTTGCCCTTTGGGACTTTAGGAGTCCACAAGGTAAGACCAGCAAACCCCTGCCCTTTGGGACCTTAGAAATCCACAAGGTCAAATGAGCAAAGCCCTGCCCTTTGGAATTCCAGTTACAATATGTAGTATGTCCTTTGTCTAAGTCCAGACTTAAATCCTCTAGTGGGAAATGTGTCTGAACAACTGCAAGATGCACAATGCACAAAAAGGAGCTAACCAACAAATAGAAATTGTTTAGTTTTATTTCAGAGCATGGGCTAATGAAACCCTCAAAATTGAATGGCAGTGTTTCTGCAGCACATTTAAAATAGTGCTGTACACTAACATGAGTTGATGTTTGTGTTGACAGAAAGCTGCCTTCCAAGATGCTAACGTGTGCCTCTTTGTGTTTGACTGTATCTACTTCAATGGAGTGAGCCTCATGGAGAGGTGAGGACTGTCTGCTCTGCTCCTTCCAGCACTTTTTATTCTTCTTTAGCATGAGCTATGAATAAAACCCACATCATGTTCTATAGTGGCATGTTAAGTGTGATATGTGCCCATGTGTTGTCCCGCAGGCCTCTGTGTGAGCGCAGGAAGTTTCTCCATGACAACATGGTGGAGGTGCCCAACAGAATCCTCTTCTCTGAGATGAAGCACGTGACAGTGAGTGCTCACGCTGCTGCAGTCTGATGGGCAAATGCATCTACAACGTGCATGGTTAACACTTACAGGCAATACTCAGTGTATATAGAGCTTTAAAGAAGACGTGTGTTTTTTATAGAATTTTATAATTAACTATTGTAAATCTAAATCATGATTTTACATTTTGTCATTGCAGTGTTTATATTTTTGATAGATGTCTTCATCTGTGCTCAACCCAGATTTATTTTGTATAAATGTAAGCAGTGGGTAGTTAGTAGGTGCAAACGGAAATATTCTAATCTCTTCTTGTGCGGAACAATACAGGATTACTCAAGCGTGCATGTATCTCTAAAAAACAACTAATGATGTAGAAGAACCATTCCATTGCATGGATTGAATCTAATATGAGATGGTACGGTACTTAAGGGCGAGCATCTTCTGCTGTTGTTGTGACAGATGTTGGTGGATTGTTGTGTGCACTTGTAAAGTCTCTTGTTCTCTGCAGAGGGCAGCAGACTTGGCTGATATGATCACAAGAGTCATCAGAGAAGGACTGGAGGGCCTGGTGCTCAAAGATGTCAAGGTTTGTATGTCTTTCTCCTCCCCTTTGTCTGGGTGATATAAATTAAACGTGTTGTTAACTCTAAAGGGGAAAGAAGGCACCTCATTGATCAGTTATTATTGTTCACACAAATAGTCAAATAAAAACACCAGGTTCATGTAGAGCGGGTTCAGATGAACCTTTTAAGGTCAGAATGAGAAGCCTGACAAGCAGCATTTACAGACTGAGACAGACCTCAATTCAATAGAACACTACTGGAACCGCACTCTGGTGGAACCAATTCATGTCCACGCTCGCTTCCTATTTGGAACACGGCAGCTTTTATCTTGGGCTGACAATCAAATGCACAAATGACATTCAGAGAGAGAAAAGGCACAGGACACAATGCACTGAGCTTGTAGATAGTTTTATTTCAGAAAAGTGCTATACATTTCCACAATGTTATAAAAAAACATTTATTTCTAAGTATAATTCTGTAACAGTTGTGTACACTTCCCCTTTTTGTAAACTGAGTACATGTACCATTTTCATATTCATTAGTAACAGTATAAAAATGAACTGTATGGTAATAGGGAGCTGAACTCAAGATTTCATGTCACATATTTCACAAAATGTTGCCCTTTAGATCCTCAGTCCTCTGTCTGTAATGGTAAAGTGAAAGAGTGTGTGTGTTTGTGTGTGTGTAGGGCACGTATGAGCCTGGGAAGCGTCACTGGCTGAAGGTGAAGAAGGACTACCTGAACGAAGGCGCCATGGCCGACACTGCAGACCTGGTGGTGCTGGGGGCCTTCTATGGAAAGGGATCTAACGGTCTGTACTGTGCCTCTTGTCCAGTCTTTAGCTTCTATTTGTGCTCTTCACGTTCTGTCAGCTGCTCAAATGTGATGTCATTTACTCTGCATTTGTCCCACGTTTGAAATGACTTGGGACTTGGCATTGATACTTTTTATCTACTGATGGGCATTGAGGGGTGAAGCAAATTTGGATTACTAGCTTTCAAATTGATTAGTGAAGGCAATTTGAGCACTGAAAGAATTCCTGTATCCTGTATATGTTTCTTAAAGAGGGGGTATTACACTTCTATGGCGTGTTAACTGCTAACACATAACATATATAGATCACCACTTTTATTATTTTCAAAATGCTATATTTGCAAAAACAACACATTTTACAAAACAATCTTTGTGCTTCTTGCTAATGAAAACACCAGGTTTGTCAAATTGCTGTGTACAGTTTCATGTTTTGTATATTTATGGAGAATTGTCACGTGGAAGAATGGGTGACGTAGGTTTATGGGCTGATCATTGTACAGGCTCGTACTGCTAACTGCAAGGAGGGTTTGAATTCTTTCTTATTCTTAATTATTTATTTGTAAAGAGACAGCACATATTAATGAACATTTAAATGTAAATATGTAAAGATTATAGCAGCATGGCTCATTTCCATCTTCAGTCTGTTGATGTGCTGCAGATTGATGTGAAATACAACCATACAGGACAGAGAAAAGTACAACAATTACACAAAAGTACATAACACCAGCACACTCACTATACATACAATTCATTTCAGACACCTTATTTGAAGTTACAGAATACTCGCCAGGAGAGATCGTGAGATTACTCAAACATGCATGAATGATAAATAAAACCTCTTCAGGCATGTTTTTGATGAGGAAACAACACCATAACATGATAGAAATCTCCAAAAAGTGGATAATTCCCATTATTGAAAGAAATATCCAAAAGGAACTTCACAGATGAACCTGATTTCATTAAGTTAGAATCTAAACTTTTTATTCATGTGGATTTAACATAAACTTCTTGGATTCTTTTTAAAGACAAAACAGTAGGAGGTGTATTTACCTTATTGACATGTTTCAGCTGCAAGCCATCTTCAGAACTGTCACTGGGGTTGGCCGTTTTAACTATTTTTTTATCTAATAGGTCAACAAATTTACACATAGAATGTCTTATATGTCTTCATGAAAACCTTACACAAGAAAAGCATGGTTGATTGTCATGCTGTTGTGCGTCACCAGGGGGCATCATGTCCAGTTTCCTGATGGGCTGTTTGGACCCAGACTCTGGGAAGTGGTGCACTGTGACCAAATGCTCTGGGGGTTATGACGACGCCATGTTGGCCCGACTACAGAAGGAGCTGGACGTGGTCAAGATTAGCAAGGTCTGCTCTCCCTTAAACCCCCAACCACCCCCCCAACCTGAAACATGCTCTCCCCCAACCTGAAACATGCTCCCCCAACCTGAACACGCTGTCCCCCCAACCTGAAACACGCTCTCCCCCCCAACCTGAAACATGCCCCCCCAACCTGAAACATGCTCCCCCAACCTGAAACACGCTCTCCCCCCAACCTGAAACATGCCTCCCCCCAACCTGAAACATCTCCCCCCCCAACCTGAAACATGCTCCCCCCCAACCTGAAACACGCTCTCCCCCCCAACCTGAAACACGCTCTCCCCCCCAACCTGAAACACGCCCCCCCCAACCTGAAACACGCTCTCCCCCCCAACCTGAAACATGCTCCCCCCAACCTGAAACATGCTCCCCCCAACCTGAAACACGCTCTCCCCCCAACCTGAAACACGCTCTTCCCCCCAACCTGAAACACGCTCTCCCCCCCAACCTGAAACACGCTCTCCCCCAACCTCACCCAACCTGAAACAAACATGCTCTCCCCCAACCTGAAACACGCTGTCCCCCCCAACTGAAACACGCTCCCCCCCAACCTGAAACACGCTCCCCCAACCTGAAACATCTCCCCCCAACCTGAAACACGCTCCCCCCAACCTGAAACATGCTCTCCCCCCAACCTGAAACACGCTCTCCCCCCAACTGAAACACGCTCTCCCCCCCAACCTGAAACGCTCTCCCCCCAACCTGAAACACGCTCTCCCCCCCAACCTGAAACATGCTCCACCCAACCTGAAACACGCTCTCCCCCAACCTGAAACATGCTCCACCCAACCTGAAACACGCTCTCCCCCCAACCTGAAACATGCCCCCCAACCTGAAACACGCTCTCCCCCCAACCTGAAACATGCTCCACCCAACCTGAAACACGCTCTCCCCCCAACCTGAAACACGCTCTCCCCAACCTGAAACATGCTCCCCCCCAACCTGAAACATGCCCCCCCAACCTGAAACATGCTCTCCCCCAACAACCTGAAACACGCTCTCCCCCCAACCTGAAACACGCTGTCCCCCCAACCTGAAACACGCTCTCCCCCCCAACCTGAAACATGCCCCCCCAAACCTCCCCAACCTGAAACACGCTCTCCCCCCCAACCTGAAACACGCTCTCCCCCAACCTGAAACATGCTCCCCCCAACCTGAAACATGCTCCCCCCAACCTGAAACATGCTCTCTCCCCCAACCTGAAACATGCCCCCCCCAACCTGAAACACGCTCTCCCCCCAAACCTGAAACATGCTCTCCCCCCCAACCTGAAACACGCTCTCCCCCCCAACCTGAAACATGCTCCCCCCAACCTGAAACATGCTCTCCCCCAACCTGAAACACGCTGTCCCCCCCAACCTGAAACACGCTCTCCCCCCCCAACCTGAAACATGCCCCCCCCAACCTGAAACATGCCCCCCCAACCTGAAAACACGCTCTTCCCCCCAACCTGAAACATGCCCCCCCAACCTGAAACACGCTGTCCCCCCCAACCTGAAACACGCTGTCCCCCCAACCTGAAACACGCTCTCCCCCCAACCTGAAACATGCCCCCCCCAACCTGAAACACGCTCCCCCCAACCTGAAACACGCTCTTCCCCCCAAAAACATGCCCCCCCAACCTGAAACATGCCCCCTGAAACACCTCCCACCTCCCCCCCAACCTGAAACACGCTCTCCCCCAACCTGAAACACGCTCTCCCCCCAACCTGAAACATCTCCCCCCAACCTGAAACATGCTCCCCCAAACCTGAAACATGCTCTCTCCCCCAACCTGAACATGCCCCCCCAACCTGAAACACGCTCTCCCCCCAACCTGAAACACGCTCTCCCCCCCAACCTGAAACACGCTCTCCCCCCAACCTGAAACATGCTCCCCCAACCTGAAACACGCTCTCCCCCCAACCTGAAACATGCTCCCCCAACCTGAAACACGCTCCCCCCCCCAAACCTGAAACATGCTCCCCCAACCTGAAACATGCTCTCCCCCCCCAACCTGAAACATGCCCCCCCCAACCTGAAAACATGCTCCCCCCCCCAACCTGAAACATGCTCTCCCCCCCCAACCTGAAACATGCCCCCCCCAACCTGAAAACATGCAACCTGAAACATGCTCTCCCAACCTGAAACATGCTCTCCCCAAACCTGAACATGCCTCCCCCCCAACCTGAAACATGCTCTTCTTTCAAACCCCCATCCTGAAACCTGCTCTCCCATGTCTGTATCAGAAGCTCTCCCATCTCATGTGCCTGACAGTTAAGTTCACACAGTCCATGACAGGTGTTGTTTGTGTGTGTCTGTGTCTGTGTGTGTCTGTGTGTGTCTGTCTGTGTTTGTGTGTATGTGTGTATGTGTGTATGTGTGTATGTGTGTATGTGTGTATGTGTGTATGTGTGTATGTGCAGGACCCCAGTAAGATCCCCGGCTGGTTGAAAATTGTGAAGAATTACTATCCTGACTTCATCATCCGAGAGCCTAAGGTGAGTAGAGCTGCTTCCACACACACACAGACACACACAGACACACACACACACACAGACACACACACAGACACACACACAGACACACAGACACACAGACACACACACACACACACACACACACACACACAGACACACACACACACACACACACACACGACACACACACACACACACACACACAGACACACAGACACACAACACACACACACACACACACACACACACACAGACACACACACACACACACACACACACACACACAGACACACACACACACACAGACACACACACACACACACACACACACAGACACACACACACACACACACACACAGACACACACACACACACACACACACAGACACACACACACACACACAGACACACACACACACACAGACACACACACACACACAGACACACACACACACACAGACACACACACACACACACACACACACACGACACACACACACACACACACAGACACACACACACACACACACACAGACACACACACACACACACACAGACACACACACACACACACAGACACACACACACACGACACACACACACACACACACACACACAGACACACACACACACACAGACACACACACAGACACACACAGACACACACACACACAGACACACACACACACACAGACACACACACACACACACACACAGACACACACACACACACACAGACACACACACACAGACACACACACAGACACACACACAGACACACACACACACACACAGACACACACACACACAGACACACACACACAGACACACACACAGACACACACACACAGACACACACACACAGACACACACACACAGACACACACACACACACACAGACACACACAGACACACAGACACACACACACAGACACACACACACACACACACACAGACACACACACACAGACACACACACAGACACACACACACACACACACACACACACAGACACACACACACACAGACAGTGTGGAGAGCTCATGTTGTCACATCGTGTGTGTGTTTAGACTGCTCCAGTGTGGGAGATCACTGGAGCCGAGTTCTCCAAGTCTGAGATGCACACTGCTGATGGCATCTCCATCCGCTTCCCCCGTATGACCCGTGTCCGAGACGACAAGGACTGGAAGAGCGCCACCAACCTGCACCAGCTCCGGGTGAGTCTGATCTCTGTGACTGCTCTGTGACTGCTCTGTGACTGCTCTGTGGCTGCTCTGTGGCTGCTCTGTGGCTGCTCTGTGACTGCTCTGTGGCTGCTCTGTGACTGCTCTGTGGCTGCTTGCTTGGCTGCTCCGTGGCTGCTCCGTGGCTGCTCCGTGGCTGCTCCGTGGCTGCTCCGTGACTGCTCCGTGACTGCTCCGTGGCTGCTCCGTGACTGCTCCGTGACTGCTCCGTGGCTGCTCCGTGGCTGCTGTGACTGCTCCGTGGCTGCTCCGTGGCTGCTCTGTGACTGCTCTGTGACTGCTCTGTGGCTGCTCCGTGGCTGCTCTGTGGCTGCTCTGTGACTGCTCTGTGACTGCTCTGTGACTGCTCTGTGACTGCTCTGTGGCTGCTCTGTGGCTGCTCTGTGACTGCAGCGTGCTGGTGTTGAGCATGTAGCCAGTGTAGAGACTTGGACAGGACTTCCATGTGTCAGTGCTGTGTACAGGTGTTTAGTGTGGTGAGGTGACTCTTCCTGACGAGGCTGTAGTAGATGTGTCTGTACTTTGTCTTTGACAGGAGCTGTTCCGCATCTCTAAAGAGACCAGTGACTTCCAAGTAAGTGCGGGGTCCTCAGGGGCCAAAGAGGAGAGGAGCTCTTCAGGAGGAGACTCTCCTCCACCCACAGCCCCACCCCCTGCCCCGCCCTCTGCTGCCCCAAAGAGGAAGAGTGAGTACAGCCGCTGTTATTTGTCCATGTCCAGTGTCCATGGACGTATAATGAACTCTGGAAGATGAACCCAAGATGGTGCCTTTGCTCATTGATGTGAAGAGCCAAAAAAGTATTTTCTTCCGCATAACTTCGTGAGTACTGGCCTAGCTCTGCCTGATGCGTGACATCAGAAATGTGCAGTTCTGACCAATCAGAGCATTAGCTGCTAGATCAGAGTGGGGCTAGGCTCACTCTTAGAAAGCTAACTTTTAGGTGCTTTGAAGCTTGATGAACATTCTAAAAAGAATCCTACAGAATCCAACCTTTGTGAAAGCTGTGGATGCCCTGTCAGCTGAACCTGGCAGTCTGAATTCACAAAAAATGCATTGCACTCTGGGAGGATTGTTTCTGGGCCGGAGCTCCCGGAGCTGCAGTACCTGGAGCAGCCACTAGTCGATCTCTCTAGTGGACAGAGGGAGTGTCTGTCTTTTCCATTTCTTATTAAAGATCCATGGTCCAGTCTAGTAGCACAGAGGCAGAGGAAACCATTCTACACTAAACCACTTCCATCTCAGTGCAGGCATAAGTGAGTAAGGTCAGAAAGAAGCCCTTTAAGACAGTTTCCAGGTTCTTCTTCAGTGATTGGTTGTATATGAACAGTTAAAAACAGCAAAGGGACCAAACTCATCCTGTCTATAGAAAAGAGGCTGTAGATAGTCAGTTAGACAAGGTTTAGTTTGTTTGTGAGTGTTGTGGTGGTCATAGGGGCTGCAGTGCAGTTTGGCAGCCTCACTTTTACCTTAATATTACCACTTACTCTTATATCAGAAATAAAATGTCTTATGATCATTAGAGCCAAAATGAAGTCTTGTCTCTGTTCTTATGCAGGTGCCAGTACTCCCAAAGCAAAGGCAGTGAAGTCGGAGCCTCGTACCCCAGGCTCAGAGGCTGGGAGTGCTAAAAAGGTACAGTCTACCACAGTACTACAGTATCACAGTACTATAGTATCACAATACTGCAGTCAGATGTAGATCTCATGTGTTTCTGTGTGGGGCAGGTGAAGAAGTGTGAGGTGCACACAAATGGACAGAGCCATCACAGAGGCAGTGCTCAGCTGCTGGAGCCCTCCAAGGACAAGGTCGGTGACACACGCACACGCACACACACTGCACAGTGAGTACAGCATGTGCACCCTGCAGGTACACACTTATGTGTACAGGCATGTGTACATGACTGTACACATAATTGACAGCTGGAACAAGTGTGAGGTCATAAACTCTTTGGCTCCCTGGAGAAAACATTCACCTTCTGTATGACTCTGTGTCATTGTTACTGGTGCTATGCAACTTTTCTGGTCAGGGTCTGCCACCTGCTTAAACATGTCCATCTGTCAGATCTGTGGAGGGTGACCACATCGACTCCTCATCACCTGGGTACATAAAAAAAGTTTAACTTAGGATCGAAAAAGATCCACTGATGTGTTTTTTTTTTCATGGCTGATGCCGACACTGAGAGTTTAGAGTTGAGAGAAACTGATGGCTGATCAGCTCTGCCACTATTTGCTCACTGAAATTTTTTTGAAGACTTTGAGCCTCCTGATCTGATGAGCCTGTTTTTTAAACTTACCTCACCTGCTGGAGCACAGCGCTCACTGATGGAGGTAGTGTCTGTGGTTAATAGAAATATTAATAAAAATATATATTAATTTTAATAATTAATTTAAAAGTTTGTGGAGAAAAAGACAAATACAAAACTAAAGAGAGAGAAGTGAGTTCTAAAAGTGAAGACCTCTAGGAAAACAGATTAAACATTGATTTAACAAAATTATTATTAGTTTATTAGTTTAATTATAGCTATTGTGCAGTTCAAGTTTTGGCCCAAGGTTGTTAACAATACGGTTGCTAGGTAACAGATACAAATGTCACATCTTCTGCCCGTGTCCAACCAGCAATAAAATGATGAATCTGAAACCAACAGAGGCAAGATGTGTAGTAAGTGATGAGCAGTGGAACCTGCCATATGCACTTTAAAGCTCCTAGATTACACTAAATGGATTGGATGGATGTTAGAATATTGTTACCTCTTCAAAAACAGACCTGTGTTTTGTTTCATTCGCACATGTTTGAGTAATCCTGCATTATTTGTCTGTCTGCATCTCCAAAACTCAGAATGCTCTGTTCCACCTTGTGATGTCATGTAGTGGTAGTTTAACAACTCTGTTTACAAAAGGCAAACTGTAAAACCCAGTGGAGCACTTCTTGTATTCCCACATAACATCACAAAAAGGAAAAGTGTTTCCTGTTTGAGAACTCAGCCTAAATGTTCAGGGTTTGTGTGTTAAACATGTGTGAAAGAAACAAAACACAACTCCAGGTGTGTGTGTGATGTGGAAACGTTAGAACATAAATGATAAAATAGTGTACGGTAACGTGGGCCCTTGTTGTGGCTTTTAAGTGCTGTTCTTCTCTCAGACTCTCCTAGACATCTTCAGTGGGGTGAAGCTCTACCTGCCCTCCTCGATTCAGGACTTCCACACTCTCAGGAGGTACTTTGTGGCCTATGATGGGGACCTGGTCCCCGACTACGACTCGTCCTCGGCCACCCACAGCATGGGAGAGGTGGACGAGGACTGCCCGGTGCAGAAGGTGTCACCGCACTGGCTCTGGGAGTGCATCCGTAAGAGGCGCCTGGTGCCCGCCTGCTGAGACCCACAGCACCTACCTCACAACAAACACTGCTCTGGACTGGCCTGGCCTCATCACATGACCTCACACACCTCTGGAACAATACATAATAATGACCCATTTGTGTCTCAGTCTCTCATTCTCACACACAAAATAAAGACACAGAGCTCAACAGTGGAAAACGGTAACTAATGAGCACATTTAATTTACATACATTTTATTTTTTAAATGTCCTACATTACATAAAATTAACTCTTGTGCATTAAGCAATGTCAGAATGTCAAAAACATGCCAGGAGTTGTGTTTGTTTCATTCACACATTTGAGTAACACTTTATAGTCTGTCTACATCTCCAAAGCTCCAAATGCTCTTTTCCACCTTGTGATGTCATGAAGTGGTAGTTTCCAAGTTAACAGTTCCTTTTAGCTTTAGTTCGATGGAGACTGGCAATTCCAGGGCTGAATTTATCCAAATGATTCTAGTAAAGGTGTGTGGAGTGTTTTCCATTTGAGAGAAGAACTCGGCTGAAATCTGCAGGGTTTTTGTGTTAAACGTGTGAAGAAAAAAACAGAACTTGACATAATACGGGCAAATGTTTTTGTACTAAAAATAATGGCGTCATTAGTTACACAGCTGCTTAGCCTCCGAGTGGTGACTGAACAGTGACAATTAACAGCTTTGACTGTTGAGCTCTACACTCATGTACCTCTGGCTCTGTCCTCAGCCAGTCACAAAGCTTCTTCTCATTAGGATTGTTTTGAAATATAACTACTCGACGACACACAATGTGAGATTAGGCCACGAGAACGAGACAAGGCAAGATTGTGACACAGCTGATGATAATTCAGGTCACAAGTTTGGCATCACAGTGTTTGAGTTCTGTTTTTAAACAGTTTTGCTGGAACAACAGCATCTGACGAGGTGGAGCTTTGTTAAATTCACCCACACCAATCTAAATGTGAAGTGGGAAAAATCATCCATTTTTCTCATATGCAGTTTTATCTGAGGGATCTTGTTTCACCAGATCTTGTCCTGTCCCATAACTACACCTACATTTGCCTTAATCACACATGGATAGTGACTTGGGTCAGGCTCAATAACACGGCTATAGACAGGTTAACATTCATCTATTTATTGAACACGGGGCGTTTGTGAACACTCAGCCTACTTTCCTTAAAGCTGCATTGTGTAACTTTTCTGGTGGAGCATCCGTCAAATGCTTTTCTCCATCGAGATGTTATTGCTTTGTCTGGAATGTTTCACAGTATGGCATTAAGCCTTTCTATCTTCATGGAGACCAAACCAAGTTACAGGTCAGATCTGTGGAGAGGCAACCCAGGTCACAGTCACAATGTCTGTTTTTCTATGTATTTTTGAGCTTTAAAACTAACTGTAAATTCAAACATTGTATGGTAGAACTGTTTAATGCCATACAGTGGAACACTTTAAGGCAGAGCAATGACATCTCCATAGAAACAAGCAGGTGACGGATTCCCAACCAAAATGTATGTTTCAGTTTTTTACAGTTGTGTCAGAAGAGTGACATGGTTTGAGTTAAAGTTTTTCCAGATTATGAATGGTATTGAAAGTAGAATGTTTTTGTTTAGCTTTTTAACAAATTGAAAAAAAAATAAAAAAAATCATGTCATGAATTATTAAAATGTTAAAACACATTTACAACTGAGGAGAAATTTTTTTTTTCCCCTTAAAAAAATAATGTTTTGTTTCGTTGCAGGTAAGGCTGCACAATATACAAGGAAGAAAGTGGTGTGTGCATGCGTGTGTGTGTGTGTGAGATGATGGTGGACGGAGGGGCTGATGGCGCAGATTGGCAGCCACACTTCTGTCAGTCTGCCCCAGGACAGCTGTGGCTACAAATAGTAAACAACAAACTCCTGTCTTTTCATAGAAAGCTCTTACTGTTCATGTAGCTCAGACCTCTACAGACATGTTCTGAAATTCATGGCTGCATGAACGAATCAATTCAGTTTGAGTCTTTTCTCAAATGTGATATAATTGCAGTCGTACTAAAAGATGCAGCTCTACTTACATGTTCAGATTTAGACTAACACAGTATGTACCACACGTTATAACAAAACAGAATAAGTGATGATGCTGTAAAAGTCCATATAGTGAAGGTGGCAGACCCGGGGCAGTTACCCGGTGGTCTCAGGGTGTTTTCTTTTGGCTGAAGGGGCTTCTTGAGAGCGACTCCACCAGCTCAGGTCAAACTCCACTCTCATGTGACAAGGCTGAAAGCACAGACCAGGACAGAGGAGTCAGGATGGTCACAGAGCTTTGTTTGTCAGAGATGTGAAGTGCAGAAGAATGCTCCTGCTGTTTGACATGTTTCTTAGAAGCCTGTAAAGTCAAATGTGACATGAGGTCATTCATTTACAGGTATTTCTTTCACATCTTTGATTCACTACTATTTAGTTGTTATCACAGAATGACAGACTTGTTGTAATTAATGTGAAATATTTGAACTGCACAGACACAAACAGCCTCTCCTCCCATGGGTCAGCCTCTGTTAGGCTCTTGTGTGAGTGACAGGTGAATTTAACCAATCACAGCGAAGGGTGAACTCTCAGAAGAAGTTTTATTTAGCTCTTGCAATATGAAATACTCATACTTTTTCCTGTTACATAGTTGTAATCTATGACACCCGTGGGTCATTATGTTCCGGTTTAGATTTTGATGTAAAACAATAATAGTTATTTTGGCGCTTCACTGTAAAGTGTGACCCACCTACACCTAACTGCAGTTCACAGTAGCAAAGAGCTGGAGTTTTTATTTCTTTTTTTCATTTGTTCCAAAATGTATATGCAACATTGCCAGATCCTAAGTAAAGTAAAATTAGAGAACAAAATCCACAGAGAGCAGGGGGCGTATATGGTGAGTAGGGGTAAATTGAATTTCTCATCTTGAATCCAGGAGAATAAAGATGACCCACACATGCATGAATCACTCTAAACACAACTTCAGAGGGTCAGTGAGAAGAAACTACTATAACATGGTTAGAAGCTCTGAAAAGTCCATTCACACATGACATAATTATTATATTATATACTAGCACGTGTCCACTAAAAGAATAGAATATGACGTTTCCTCTGAGGACAGTGCACATGAAGCTCCACAGTCCCACTCACTTCAAAGTCCGCGCAGGTTCTGGACGTACATTTTCCATTAATTTTATTAATGTAAACTCTTTGATGAAGGATCGGCCAAATGCTTTAATAACTCAATGGTTTAGAAAGTTACAGAAAGAGATTTTAAAATACAATGAGAGGTCTTGTGGTCATTAGTCACCACAGAGCAGATGAACCCTGAGCTGTCAAACTTTCAAGATCCGATTTTTGGGAAAGTCCAAGTGTATGAGAAACACACACAGAGTACCTGTCTGGAGGACTTGATGAGCGTGGCAGACCTCCAGGAGCTGAGACTGTGCGCGCTCTGGCTCGGCCCCTCCAGCAGAAGCCGTGTGCGGGGAACATGGCTCCAGGACACCCCCAGAGCAGGACGCACGGCCCCGCCCACACTGCGGGTCACATGGTTGGTCACCTGTACAAAGCACGGACAACATCACAACTGTGAACTAGAACTACTCACAACTGTACAAACTGTCAAGTACTGGTACTGCAAAAAGGTCTACACTAGGACTGCACCGATACTGATACTGGTACTGAATATCTGTTGATACAGGAAAATGTACAGTATCGAGTATCGGCTCATCCTGATGTTTGAACTTAAATTATTACAAATCTGTTCGGAAGTTACAGGAAACATAACAGTTACATAACACAACTGGATCATTTCTGTAGTTAAGTTAATGGTATTTTGAGACAAAAAAAATGCAATTTTCAGTCCCAACACTGGTATTGGTAAATATAGCTTTGGTTAATGTTTCAGTTATTAGTAGTTATTGAAAGACATATAGTAGTATCAGTATCAGTATCGGAACTGAAACTGGATACAGTCTCAGCGTTCCCACATGACTTTTTCATGACCTAAAGTGAATTTTCCATGACTTTACGGCACCTACATGTGTAGAATAGATCAGACTTTTAGGGGTAAATCTGAAATGTTAACTCTTTCCACTCACTTTATGGTCTGGGATTATAGTTTTTCAACATTCAAAATCATGTCAGTGCATTTATTGTCGTCTCTTTTAAACAAAAGGCACAAACATTTAGAAATAATCAGCACAGCCTCATGAGAACTTAACAAAACGCGGGAGATGCATACTAAAATTCCATGACTTTTCCAGGCCTGGAAAATGACATTTTCAATTTCCATGACGTTTCTAGGATTTCCATGACCTTGGGAACCCTGAATATTATTGGAAACAGAAACATTCCAGAATAGCACAGGTACTTTGACACATGCTCTGTGGGACCGTCCTGGACTACATGCAGGACTGAGTGTCATGTGACCAGCCCAAGTCTCCCAGGATGTGACTTTCTGGAAACCTTCCTGCCTTTAGAGCACTGGACTGCTGATCTGTGTGAGACTTCAGACTGGACTGGATTATCTGTGACGACTTGACTACTACTACTTTTGGACTTCTCTTCTCATTCAGTCTGTAGAGTCCTGGAGCTGTTGAGGCGTTTTAACAGGAGTTTGTTTGTGCCTCCACTGTAGCATCCAAACACACACATGTTCATCCTCCAGCTTGGCACTTTTGACTGTGGAACTGGTGACTAAAAGGAGACAAATTAAGTATTCTCTTTTCTGGTATTTAGTAATAAAAATCATATGTAAATCACAATTTTATATTTTCTTCACCGTAAAGATCATTTTGATTTAAAGAAGAAATACTGTGCTTGTGTGTACGTTATAGTTATAATCTCTGGATCATTAGGTTCATAAATGATTGACAGCACGTGCATGCTGCAGGAGGGCCTATGCACAGCAGATCACACTACCGAATCCAATGTGTATCACTGATTAAGACGACTCCAACATGCATGGATCACTCTAAATACAACTTCAGAGGAGAAATGGGAAGGAAACAAAAATAACATAATTAAAAGCAAACTTTTACACAAGAGCTGACAAAAAGTCTGAGTTGGAGCCATGTGACAGAAGTGTGTTACTCACCAGAGCTGCCACACTGAAGTCTTTGACCAGGGCCTTGAGAAGAACTGCCAGCTGCATCATCAGGGACATACCTGCACACACACACACACACACACACACACACAGACACACACACACAATGTACAAATGTACGTACTAAAGATGAAAAAAAATGACAGTCGATAGGAACAGTAGATAATTCTATAAAAACACATACCCACAGTTTAGTAGTGAAAAGTGAATGTAGTGTTAAATTCCAGTTTAAAGTATTTTCCACACCATAGATCACTCTGGATTATAAGAAGCACTGTCATTAAATGGTCTATTTTCTAACTTTTTTCACAACTAAACGGCACCGGACTATAAGGTGCATTAAAGGAAACCCAACAGTGTGATGGGTGAGTGGTTTTGTTTGTTTGTGGTGTTCACGGTGACTCTGGGCTTTGTTCAGTTGTGGCGTGTAGGGAGGGTGCTGTCTGGGACCAACGGATTGTCGGCGTGTTCACAGTGACTCAGTTGTTCAGTCGTGTCTACTGTAGAAGTGACATATTGCACTCGCTTTTTCGGTTCGTTCCTTCGTTCCGTTCCTCGTCGTGGAGTGATGAGTGTGTCTGTGGGTGTTTTTTGCTGTGCGGTCGCTGTCTGCTCTGTGTGTGTTTGTGTGTGCTGTGGGTGGTGCGGGTGGTGCGGTTTGGTAGTTTACTGAAGTTGTGCTGGGACACCTGAGTGGATTCGTGTATAGGGGCTCTGGATTGTGGCGCGCAGTTGTTTTTTGATGGGGTTGGAGGCTTAAGAGCGTGACAGAAAATACGGTAAAAGCTTTTCATGTTTTTCCTCATTCTTACTTGGTTTGGTGAATAGTACTTGTCTGTGGTAGATATAAATCTGTCAAGTATCAGATTGAAAATAAAAGTAGAGTAAAAGTAGAAAAGTACAAAAAAATAAAAAAATAGAGTTCTAAGGGGAAACTCTCGGTCTATGTCACCAATACACACAATTTCATCCAGAATGCAGAGACAATGGACACACACCATAAACACAATTCATTTTTTGACACTTTTATCATAGATTTACCAAAATAATGATGGCATACTATATTGTGTAAAATCACAGCTCTTCATTAGGCGAGTTCAGGCTCGTTTCAAGTGTTCTTTTGAGGTTAACAGTTGTGATTACTGTGAGAGGATTTTTACCATTATTCACAATTATGACCCATGACCCATGATCCAACAACAGCCAAATCCTTCACTCACTTTCACTCAGATGACCTGCTCTGGCAGATTCCTCTAATCTGTGACCAACTTCATGAAAAAAGAACTTTATGAATGATCAAGTCAAGTGACATAAAATGACAGATTAAGAAAGCACTTCATATTTAGCTTTCCCAAAACTAAAATGTGAAACTCACTCAAATAAAGCAGGTTTTATATATTTACATGTACTTCTGCTCTAGCACTGATACAGATCAAATTTAGCCCATCTGATTTTTTTCCTGGTTGAATACTTGTATCTAATTTCAAAAGTACTTTTAGTATCAGTGTGTACCTGCCCGGGTATTGACTATTTTTGACATCCCCTCTTCAGAATATAAGGTGCACTATGTACCTTTTCTGGTGCTTGTCTCCATGGTGATGCTCTTGCTTTGTCTGGAATGTTCCCCAGTATGGCATTAAACCCCCAAGCCCTCATCTCGTTTTATAGATGTGGGCTGGAGAGTGTGCTGGCCCCACCCGTCACGGTGTGGAACAGCCACTGCTCAGCCCAGGACAGGAAGCGTCTACAGCGTGTGCTCAGAGTGGAGGAGAAGATCACTGGATGTGACTTTACTCCCATCAGTGACATTTACGAGGAGCGCAGCAGGAGACGGGCCTCCAGGATCATGGGGGAGCCCTCGCACTCCTCCCACCACCTGTTTGTCCCTCTGCCCTCTGGGAGGAGACCAAGGAGCATCAAAGCCAGAACATCTCGGCTGAAGTCCAGCTGTTTTCCTGAGGCTGTCAGACTTTTGAACTGTGCACACTGACTTCCTGCTTAGGCTGCCTCTTTATCTTGCAACATGTTCTATTTGTACTTGTGTATTGGAACTGCTAAATGCTCTTGATGTACTTTTGAATATTGCTTATTCATTATGGTTCTTATCTCTTTTAATCACTGGGCATCGGGGACCACGTTTCATTCTATGAGGCGGGCCCTCCATCAGAAAAATTTACCTTTTTTAGTTGATTATAGTTTGCAGACATCATGCTGGAGGTGTTCCGCATGTGCAGTATATCTATATCAGTTACCACGGTGACACAATGCACACACAACCACCAGAAAAAAGTTTTAAGATCGTCTGAAAACTAATGCCGGAAAGACCTGGCAGGCCCAAGCGTGTAGTGAGGGTCTGTTGGGAACGTCTGGCGGAGCCCTCTGTCAGAGGGACCTTCAACTCGCACCTCCGGGAGGACTTCTCCCGGATTCCGGGGGAGGCTGGAGATATGGAGTCCGAGTGGGCTTCATTCTCGGCCTCTATTGTCAATGCAGCTGCTCGGAGCTGTGGGCGTAAGGTCTGTGGTGCCTGTCGCGGCGGCAACCCCAGAACCCGGTGGTGGACACCGGAAGTAAGGGATGCTGTCAAGCTGAAGAAGGAGTCCTATCGGGCCTTGCTGGCTCGGGGGACTCCTGAGGCAGCTGACGGGTACCGGCGGGCCAAGCGTGCTGCAGCCCGTGTGGTCGCGGAGGCAAAAACTCGGAGCTGGGAGGAGTTCGGGGAGGCCATGGAGAAGGACTATCGGACGGCCTCAAAGACATTCTGGCAAACCGTCCGGCGCCTCAGGAGGGGAAAGCAGTTCTTCACCAACACTGTTTACAGTGCGGGGGGAGAGCTGTTGACCTCGACTGGGGACGTTGTCCGGCGGTGGAAGGAATACTTTGAGGATCTCCTCAATCCCACCGTCACGTCCTCCGAGGAGGAGGCAGAGGCTGGGGACTCGGAGGCGGACTCATCCATCACCCTGGCCGAAGTCACTGAGGTGGTTGGCAAGCTCCTTGGTGGCAAGGCTCCGGGGTTGGATGAGATCCGTCCTGAGTACCTGAAGTCTCTGGATGTTGTGGGGCTGTCTTGGCTGACACGCCTCTTCAACATCGCGTGGCGGTCGGGGACAGTACCTCTGGACTGGCAAACCGGGGTGGTGGTCCCTCTGTATAAGAAGGGGGACCGGAGGGTGTGTTCCAACTATAGGGGGATCACACTCCTCAGCCTTCCCGGTAAGGTCTATGCCAGGGTACTGGAGAGGAGAATCCGGCCGATAGTCGAACCTCGGATTCAGGAGGAGCAGTGTGGTTTTCGTCCTGGCCGTGAAACACTGGACCAGCTCTACACTCTCCATAGGGTGCTCGAGGGTTCATGGGAGTTTGCCCAACCAGTCCACATGTGTTTTGTGGATCTGGAGAAGGCATTCGACCGTGTCCCTCGTGGTGTCCTGTGTGGGGTGCTCTGGGAGTATGGGGTCCGGGGCCCTTTGCTAAGGGCTGTCCGGTCCCTGTATGACCGGAGCAGGAGCTGTGTTCGCATTGCCGGCAGTAAGTCAGACCTGTTCCCGGTGCATGTTGGACTCCGCCAGGGCTGCCCTTTGTCACCGGTTCTGTTCATTGTATTTATGGACAGAATTTCTAGGCGCAGTCAGGGGCCGGAGGGGGTCCGGTTCGGGGACCACAGGATTTCATCTCTGCTGTTTGCGGACGATGTTGTTCTGTTGGCTTCATCGAGCCAGGACCTGCAGTGTGCACTGGGGCGGTTTGCAGCCGAGTGTGAAGCGGCTGGGATGAAGATCAGCTCTTCCAAGTCCGAGGCCATGGTTCTCGACCGGAAAAAGGTGGCTTGCCCTCTCCGGGTGGGTGGGGAGTCTTTGCCTCAAGTGGAGGAGTTCAAGTATCTCGGGGTCTTGTTCACGAGTGAGGGAAGGACGGAACGTGAGATTGACAGGCGGATCGGTGCAGCTTCGGCAGTGATGCGGTCGCTGTATCGGACCGTTGTGGTGAAGAGGGAGCTGAGCCGAAAGGCGAAGCTCTCGATTTACCGGTCAGTCTTCGTTCCTACTCTCACCTATGGTCATGAGCTCTGGGTAGTGACCGAAAGGACGAGATCGCGGATACAAGCGCTCGAAATGAGTTTCCTCCGCAGGGTGGCTGGGCGCTCCCTTAGAGATAGGGTGAGGAGCTCAGTCACACGGGAGGAGCTCGGAGTAGAGCCGCTGCTCCTCCATGTCAAGAGGAGCCAGTTGAGGTGGCTCGGGCATCTGTTCCGGATGCCTCCTGGGCGCCTCCCTCGGGAGGTGTTCCGGGCATGTCCCACCGGGAGGAGGCCCCGGGGAAGGCCCAGGACACGCTGGAGGGACTATGTCTCTCGGCTGGCCTGGGAACGCCTCGGGGTCCCCCCGGAGGAGCTGGAGGACGTGTCTGGGGTGAAGGAAGTCTGGGAGTTCCTGCTTAGGCTGCTCCCCCCGCGACCCGGCCCCGGATAAGCGGACGAAAATGGATGGATGGATGGATGAAAACTAATGCAAACTAGTTTGTGACTGTAATGTTATCTGAGAGGGACTTCTTTAACAGCACAAATCAGCTCATCTGTTGTTTGTTTGTTTTTATTTACACCCACATTAGCTACTGAAAAACAACAACTATTCTTCCTGGGGTCCGTGTCAGGCTATAAAGTCTTTTTTTTTTTTTTTTCTCCCCCCCATACAGGAAACAGGATGTACATGCTCCACAAAATAACAAAAATATACAAATTATCATGATAATCAAAACTATCTAAATAAAAATAATAATAGCTCTACTTCTGTTCTGATCAGAAACAGCACAAGTCAATTCAATTCCATTGTTAAGCTCTCCACAAGTTTGTAATACAAAGCACACAAAATCACAACTATTCCACCAGAGCTACTCCCAAGTGAAAATGAACAGTCTAACCATTTTATGGAAACTAACCATCCTCATCCCTGAGATGAGAAACTGTGGGAGTGAGTTCCATGTCCCCATTGCATTGTAAATCAAAAACACTGTCTCCCGTGACTGTTTAAATGGAACTGGAGTGATTTAAATAACAAAAAATATTAGGCTGTATTTCTAGGTCTTTTCAAATAGTTTTCAAACATATTTTAGTGTTTATGCATCCACATCGTGCTCAAGTCTGTACCTGCTGCTGACCTGCTGTGTCATCTGCGTGTTCAGCTAATTCCTTTTCCTCTCCGGTTCAATCACAGTTTTAACAAACTTTCTAGTCTTGCCATTGAAAGTCAGGACATTTTGCAGTGTTTTTGTTGCAGTTTTTCAAAGTCTATTCTTTTTGGTCAAACTGTGTTAAAACAAAGATTAGATTAGAAGTCTAACTTGAGTAACGGAGCTTCAGACAGAGCAGAGCCTACAGTTAGCATCACACGCAAAATTATTATTACAAGTAGAATTATTAGTAACTGCAGAATCTAGAAAACCCTTTTGTGCCAAAGCAAAACTAAACCTGTGTACTGTGTATAGTACTGGCTCTTCCCCATGGAGCTCCTCACACTTTACCTTCTGTGTGCCTGGAGCCCAGCAGAGGAGAGACGACCGCAGACACCGAGTCGATGATGATGGCCCGCACACAAGCCCCGCCCACCGACACCTGCATCAATCAGCACAGGACACATCATCAAGAGGCAGCGCATAGACGCGTTAAATCATCAGAATGTTCAGACGTGGCAGTGTGCACAGCAGCGCTCAGTCACGATGTCTACGGCTTTTGCCAAGTCAAAATTATGAAAAATTAGGACCATTGCCATAGCAATTAACAATTCCAACCAAAATATTAAATCATTTGAAGCTGACTCCCCTGCATATTGACATCTGACATTTATAAATAGAATTTAAAGAGGGGCTTCATTTTGGTATAAACTGTAACACAGCACATATTTAGACCACCATGTTTTACTTTTACTGTTTCTAAAATGATCTACTCACCAGAAGCAACATATTAACATGTTTAATAAGTTTCTCTGAGTCCCTTTGTTCCCTGCGCTAAGTCACTCCCCCTTCAGAGTGCCACTACATTATAATGGGCATGCATTCTACTATTCAAAGTACTGCGCATCACATCAGGTTTGTGAAGTTGTAGCGCATCATGTTTTTGTATATTTATGGAAAATTGCCGTGTATGAGCATGGATGATGTAGATTTGTGGCATGAGCTTTAGATAAGATTGTTCTGCTAAACATCAGGAGTGTGGTGGAAATGTTAGTATTGGGTGTTGCTCTTTCCTTTGTCCAAGAAGTGATAAAAGTCACACTATTCTTTGTCTAATCCTTTCTCTCACAGAAAGGCTCTAGGTACCTTTAGGTTTTCCATTTACATGTCTGATGATTATGTCACATGTTAAGTGTTTGATCATTTTCACTTGTACTCAGATGCTAATGTAAATGTGTTACATTTCATATCTACGAAAAACAATGGCCAGCCAGACTAACCTAAATGCCAACGGTTCTTGGGGAAGGGCTTGGACGTCAGAAAGTTTTTAAGTGTTGTTAACCCACTGCTCCGGGCTCACTGCTGGCAGAAACTGTCCATCAGTAGTGAGACCGTTTGTTACCGGTGCAAATGTAAAAAACCAACCTAGACAGTCTTCTTGTATGTTTTGGTGTTATTTTACAGATAATTTGTATGACACTATGGTGTTGTTGGCAGGATGTCTCGATGGTGTTCGGCGCTGAATCAGGTTGTAGGAATCTGTGCACAGTCAGGGAGCCTCCCTCCCTTAAACGTGGGTTGAGAAGGAAGGCAAAAATGTGTGACAGAGCAGACTCAACGCTGGCATCCCTGTATGTGTGAAACACTGTCTTTGTTGGTGAGATCACTAAATTACTCAAACATGCATGGATGACATCTAAAACCTCTTCAGGCATGTTTTTGCACACACACGCACACACACACACACATGTAGTTTAGTGTAACCAGTAGTGCACCACAATACCAAGCTGTAGTGTGGCCTGCAGAGGAGCAGGAGGCTCATGTCTCTCTGATCATGACCCTCTGACTCCTCACATCAGATTTTGTGGTTTCCCTGTCACTTAAATGATCTGAAAGGTCCATACATATTTTGGAAATCTGTCTGTATATTTTAGTAAAAGCCCATGTCATGAGCAACTCACCGGCTGCAGGCCGCTGCGGCGCAGGCTGCACACACAGTCCAGTAATGAGAACACGTCAAACACACGGAACACATGGATCCTCTGCAGAGTGGCCATCTGCAAGCAGAACACATATGAAAGGATTCAATATACACACATATATAAGTGATGGGCACAAAACTTGAAAATATTTTAGTCTTTTCTAACATTTAGGTTGTTATATAAGCCAAAAAGCTGCAGGAGCAGCTCTGTTGCGTCTGGTGTAAACTGATGCTTTTAAAAATAAAAGTGTATGCAGCTATGCCTGCGTTACACATCACTACAGTTCAGTGTAAATTCAAGGTCATGTCACCTTACACAGCAAGATGGATTCTAGTGATACTTGTGAGTAGTGAGTGAAGCCATACTTCAGGATTTTCAGTACAATTGGCAGTGGTGGATTATGGGTAATGAATGGCACCAAGTCACTTTTGGGGTCAGATTAGATCAGTGACCCTCACCTGGCATGTGTGAGTTTAAAGACAATAGATGGCATAGATTTCACCTTAAATCTGGATATCTGGTTTACTTTTCACCTTCTTATAACGTCAAAACAGATCCTTGGAGATGTTTTAGACTTTATTATAAAGCCCTGTACATCGAAAGTTTACTGATACTGACACTTTAAAAGGTGTGAAACTGATAAAAATAGTACTAACACGATGTGCTCTGATTAATGTGCACATGTAGTAGCCAATTAGCAGGTTAAATCACTCATGTCACACACACAAAAATCATTGATTTAACTTCAAGCTGTCATTAATGTTAAACATATGAACAGTGTTAAACAAAAAGCATCTGGGATTGTTTGTCTTTAGTCTACCCTTTCTCTAGGCTATTTAGTACTAATCGACAATACACTGACTTAATGTTTTTGAATCTTTGTGAGATTGGTTTAATCATTCAGTTAGTGCAAACTGCAGACGTGCACTTCTCCCGTCAATCTGGAGCTTTGTAAATGTGTTTGTGTGTGTGCTTTGATAATGTATTTATCCTGGTGCAACAATAACCCACAATCTCTGAAGTTTGTTCATAATTTCTATGGGAATACTCAGCCGCTGCAGGAGCTCTATAGGGTTTGTGAAAAACATGCCGAAGGTAAGAGCTTAGAGCATTTGAGGATGTGGAAGATGTCTGTGCTTTTCTCTCAACTGGACATAACTAAAGTTGGATTTTTTGGCTTGTTCCTGTTTTGACGCTTTGATCAATCAGATTTAAATATTTGTCATGACACGCCGGGTTTTCCCAGCGCTTTCAGAAAGAGCCGCTCCAGGTTTATAATGTGTAGAACTCAATTCAGAGTGACACACACATCAATCTAGTGTGAACCAGGTTAAGTCTTATGAGTGTGTTCAAATCAAATGTGAATGTTGTAAAAGTGGGTGCTCCTCCAGTCTCACCTCCTCTTCCAGACTCACCTGCTCCTCCAGACTCACCTGCTCCTCCAGACTCACCTGCTCCTCCAGACTCACCTGCTCCTCCAGACTCACCTGCTCCTCCAGACTCACCGGCTCCTGTTCCTCCAGACTCACCTGCTCCTCCAGACTCACCTGCTCCTCCAGACTCACCGGCTCCTGTTCCTCCAGACTCACCTGCTCCTGTTCCTCCAGACTCACCTGTTCCTCCAGACTCACCTGTTCCTCCAGACTCACCTGCTCCTCCAGACTCACCTGCTCCTGTTCCTCCAGACTCACCTGCTCCTCCAGACTCACCTGCTCCTCCAGACTCACCTGCTCCTCCAGACTCACCTGCTCCTCCTCCTCCAGACTCACCTCCTCCTCCAGACTCACCTGCTCCTCCTCCTCCAGACTCACCTGCTCCTCCTCCAGACTCACCTGCTCCTGTTCCTCCAGACTCACCTGCTCCTGTTCCTCCAGACTCACCTGCTCCTCCAGGCTGCTGCTCTCAGTCTGGATCATCTGCTGCAGTCTGCTGCCCGTGATGCCCCCAGTGGTGTCAATGAAGATGACGGCGTGTTTGAGATGAAGGGCGATGTGCACAGCCACCCCGAAGCACACCTACGGCACAGAGAACACCCCACTGAGACGACAAACACCTCACACTTTTCACAACCACAAAAGTCACACATAGACCTTTTCATACAGTTTGATGTCTTTATTACTTTATATTTGGGCTCCCAAAAAAGAAAAACAATATCAGTATTAAAACTGATATAGAAAGATTCTCATTTGTATGGAAACAGAAACAAATCAGATCATAAAGATGGAATGATATCAATACTATATCAAAACTAGAAAGCACATAGAAATATTAAAGGACATATTATGGTTTATGAGCCTTTTCTTTCATCATGAACAAAGTTGTATTTTGATTGCCTGTGTGATTTTTGCCCATTTTTCAGCAATGAAAAATGTAAATGTAAATGAAAATCTACAGCTTGCTACAATGAAATAAATTATGAGAAGGAGGCCAGGCCTTTCAGTTTTGAACAGAAAGTGTATGGGCCAGTTTCAACATTGAAACGGTTTAGAATAATTTTTTTAATTTACAATGAACAGCATGAAAAATAATCTACCTATTTTATAGTTTAATACTAAATGCTCCAAAAGCACAATGTGTATAATTTGGAGTTTTAATATCACTGCGAGTCAAATATAGTATGGAGCTCTTTGCTTGGGATCAAAATTTAAATGTTTGTGCCATGTCAACACTACACACATCAACAGCCCATTACACTTAAAGAGGGGGTATTATGCAAAATGTACTTTTTTGGAGCTTTCTACCATGTTATAATGTTGTTCCCTCATCAAAAACATGTCTGAAGAGGTTTTAAATATGATCCATGTAATAATTAACTTTACTGCATTGTCCTTAAAAAGAACCCAAGAAGTTAAAGTATATAAGAAGACAAAATGAACATCATTGGCTTAGTGATCCATGTATGTTTGAGTATTTTAGTGATCTCTCCAGACCTCTATCTGCTAAGTTGTAAGAATCTGTCCAACGCTCTACTCACAAGCCTGCTTCACCCCTACAAGCCCACTTCACACAACTATTCTCCATATATACACAAAAACATGATAAAAAACTGTACACAACAACTGGACAAAACTGATGTGATGTGCAGTGGTTTCATTAGTGGGATGCACACTGATTGTGTGATAGCGCTCTAAAAAGAGGGTCATTTAGCACAGGGAGCAAAGGGAGGTCAAAAACAATAGTAAAACTCATACAACTTTTTAATAAAACATCAAAATGTAACATTGTGATCTAAATATGTTACGTGTTAGCAGTTAATATAGTTATAGTCAAATACCTTTTTAAACCACAACTTTGTGTTTGTATTCATGATGTATCACTTGAAATAAATGATACCGATGTGTGTGCAAGAACATATATCATTCAGTCTGATTTGAACACACTGGTACATCAAACACCAGCAGAGGGCATACTAGTGCAAGGTGGATAGCAGCAAATTTGTTGGCTGAAATGAGCAAAACACATTTTTTGAAGGAAGAATGGACTTCACAGAGGAGCTCCTCTGGGTCCCACCATGATGCAAAGAGGATGAACACGTGTGCTCACGACAATAACAGAATGTGAGTGACCTGGGATTTCCCCGTGCCCGGCCCTCCTGACAGCTCCGTCAGCTCCCCAGTGTACAGCCCCGAGTCCAACAGCTCATCTAACCTAGGACACAAGGGGAGAAGGAGACATCAGTGAGGACACAAGGAGACGTCAGTGAGGAGAGAAGAGAAAGAGACATTGTGTGTAAAAGCTGCATGTTCGAGCTGAGTGTGTGTATGTGTGTGTATGTGTGTGTATGCGTGTGTGTGTGTGTGTGTGTATGTGTGTGTGTGTGTGTGTGTGTGTATGTGTGTGTGTGTGTGTGTGTGTGTATGTGTGTGTGTGTGTGTGTATGTGTGTGTGTGTGTATGTGTGTGTGTGTGTGTGTGTGTGTGTGTGTGTGTGTGTATGTGTGTATGTGTGTGTGTGTGTGTGTGTGTGTGTGTGTATGTGTGTGTATGTGTGTGTGTGTGTATGTGTGTGTGTGTGTGTGTGTGTATGTGTGTGTGTGTGTGTGTGTGTGTGTGTGTGTGTGTGTGTGCAGGTGCAGTACCGGGGGTGTCCTGTAGACAGGATGGCGGTGGAGTTGAGCAGGTCTTCATACAGATCTGCTCCAGACACAGGGAAGGCCGTGTGCTGAGCCAGGAGCACTCTGCGGATGGCCAACAGTGCCTGCACACACACACACACACACACAGAGTACATTACACACACATATAAAACACATTACAAACACACACACACACAAATAGACATTACACTGTGTCCATAAGTTGACACAAAATATATCTTCAGAACACTCATTTTAAAGAACAGTTACAGTTACGCTTTCATCTAGTGGTATTCAAAGTTCCATTACTTAAAAATGAGGTCACCTCTCCACAGATCTGACCTATCATCAGTTAGGCTTGTCTTAACCAGAGGAGATTCAAATCAGGTACTGGTCATGTCTAGCAGACTGTAGATGGATTTGGTAGAAAGTGGCCTGCTAACCACTTGGTACTAAATAGGAAGTGGTTCCAGTAGAGTTTACATCCAACTGACTTCTATTGAAAAATGGTGGCCCCTCTTTCTGTACCTGCTGCTGTCAGACTCATCATTCTGACCTTAAATGTTGGTTTGAACCCACTCTACATGATCCTGTAGAAGATTATTTCACCATTTTGTTTGTAAAAGTGATGAGTGTTAATAACCGACCACCAGGCGCCTTTTTTCCTCACAGCCAGCCAAAGCTAGAGTTAGCAACAGGTTTGATTGACAGCTATCATTCCTAAGCATCTGCCCTTTGGCTGGGAAGGAGTAAGAAACTTCAACAATCTGGCTCCTGATTGGCTCTTTAGTTGTGCACTCAGATTTCCAGATGGTGCCTTGTTGTAGATTATTGCAGATTATCTGCTATTACTCTAACCTCTACGGATGACATCACCATCCCTCAGTCTGGATTTGTAAAATACCAGAAATGTAAGTAAGAAGAACATACAAACTGTGAGCTAAATGCTCTTTACCTTGTATGAGACGGAGCATTTCTGAGCCAAAACTTCCAGATCAGTTGACACCAGCTCCTCCACTAAAAACAACATTCATTATTATTATTATTATTATTATTATTATTATTATTATTATTATTATTATTATTATTCCTTTTCAGTTGACTGACATGCCTTTACGACTGAATAATGGCACCACTTTCTGTAGCATTTGGTCAAAAAATCATTTCACTTGTCTTTCACTTGTATTTCTCCTGACCATTGGAGATACTGGGCCTGTCTACGTAAATAGAAATATGAACCATAAACCTGAAAAATTTGCAGTTTGACAGCTAAAAGACAATTAGAAATAGAATAGAACCATAGAATTCTCAAACAATATTTACCAATACAAACATGAAGCTTTTCAAATCCAGAGCGAAGTAAATGTTGTGGTCTTATCTATGAATGTAGATATTGGCAAATATCAGTTGAGAATTGTATGGTTTTATTCTATTTGCAATTGCCTAATCAGAAATCAGATTTATGTTGTGTTAAGTAATGGTAGTTCACAATTCAATTTTTCATTTTTGTAAAAATTTTATTTATCTACGATATAATCTCAGTTTTTCATGATTGTGTCAACAGAATACGGATGCACAGATCTAGTTATTTCAGTTCCGATAGCCATTTGGATTTCATGGTTTTAGGTATCTGCTGATAGGAGATACCAACAGATGCCAGGGCAGAGACTGAAAACAGCTTTAAACTAAACTGATGTGTGGAGATGTTATTTATCTCAAATAATTACAGAACAACTTTATATTGAAAAAACTTCAAACATTATGGCACTTTCTGGACCAACTATGACCAGGAAACAAACAGTCTTATAACGTAAATTCATATGCCCAACATGATATCAACTGAACTGATATTTCAAAGCTGATATTTCATAGCTGATGCAGCTATTTTTTCAGTTTCTGGGCTGATATCTGATACCAGTATTGGATCGGTGAATCCCTGAATCATATATCTAACATTTAGTCATTGGTCTGTTCAAAAAGACAAAGCTGATGAACTGAGGACGAAGGCTGCAATCATTCATCTACAACTGTGACTAGTGGACCATAAACAAGGATCCTAGTTGCAAATTTGAGAATCATAATCATTATTTGGATTATACAGAGTGTAAAACACATACCCAAAGATCTTTTTAAATCTTCAGATTCACTATATCAACCAACCTTCATTGGTCAAAACTGTATTGAAAAAAACATCAATGTCCAATAGAAATGACGTTCAACTAATTGACTCACTGAAAAAATGAAACTACTAATATAATGGTTAGTTGCAGCCTTACTGAGGACAAACTATTTGACACAAAGGAACACAGATTTGGACAGTGCAGAAAAAATATCAGTGCCAAATACTGGAGCGATACGATAAGTGATAACCCATCCCTGCTCTCAGAAGACTGACCTGTAGAGATGTCAGCTGCGCGCAGGTCTCGCACTAACTGCAGCTCCAGGCCAGGACACATGTGGGCTCTCAGGATCACCATGCTCTCCAGGGGTCAGGGGTCAGAGGGCTAGGACATCCTGAGGCAGCGGGACGGTGCAGTCGGGGACACAACCAAAGAAAACAAAAGAAAACATTAAAGAGGCCAGTGGTCCTGAAATGATGAGGAATACAATACTACACCCTCACTGGGGTTTATGCATTTCTGTTTACAGTTATTAGACCATTAGTAGAGGAAAAATATACAAAAAAATTGCATTCCCAAGCACAAATCCTCTCCACAAACTAACAGATTGTGACAAATCAACATGAAATTTACAGTTTTATATGTAAATAGAAAAATTCCCCAATTTGTCAGCTTCAACTGAAGCCCGAGATGAGCTGTGTGTCTCCAGCAGATCACCTGCTGTAACAGAAATAATATTCCACACCCCCAAACCCACATAGAACTCTCCATCATTTGGCAATAGAATGCATATAGGGCATTCCATGGGAAACTGGCAGACTTCAGGATAAAAATTGTACTTAACTTTCATGGATTTGATTCAAACTTGGCACAATACATGTTTATATATGGCATATGATCTAAGTGAAATTTCAAAATCAGACTTAGCAGAAAATATTCATGCCTTAAATCTCACAATAGTACATTTTGCATAATATAGGACCTTTAAATAAAGTACAGATAAATAAAATGTGTACCTAAGTACAGTTATTAGATACATACACTAAGAATGTTGTGATGTTACCTAAAAACAGCAGTTTCTTTCCTCTTCTCAGATCATTCTGAGCTGTTCATATCAAATACACTCAAAAGAAGGGGTTGCTCTGCTAAAATGTATGACCCACAGACCCAAGAGTCCAGTGGGAGAAGAGCGTGCCTACTCCAAATATGGATTTCTGATAGGGTGACCAGACGTCCCTATTTACCTGGGACAGTCCCAGTTTAAATCTCTGTGTCCCCTGTCCCAGCAGATTTATTCAAAACAAAACATTTATACAAGAAAAATCCCAGGTGTGCTTATTTTTGACCAATTTAATCTAAACCAGGGCTAAACTAAAATTAAACCAGGACTACGTCAGGTTTAAACAGGACTATCACAGTTTTTGACAACACTAAAGAGGAGCATAAATTGTCATTTGTTTCGCCAAGATACAGAAAACCGTGTTTGCAAATGACAATAAAGCAAATAAATAAATACATAAATAAAAATGCATCAACAGAAGCCTCTCAGATTATGACTGACATGAGAATGCACAATATTACACTCTCTTTTCGCTATTTTATTTATACCAACCGGAGTGTGCCCAGTTTAGAATTTTGAAGATCTGCTCACCCTAAACTATTAGAGTCCAAACAGAACGGAAATAGCCCAGCGCTGGCTCCATTTCAGCGCCAGTTTGTCTCTAGTGATGCGGATGTGTTCACTAAAGATGTGAGATTTACACAAGAGACAGCACACAAACACAGAGAAGCCCAAAAGGTACACGGCACAGCACAATGTCTGTTACTTTACCACAGTCTGATCGCGCTGCCGTGTTTTGAAAACGTGAACCTGCGACGCTGACATTCACTTCCTGTTGTCACGCGCGTGGAATGCTGGGAAATGTAGTTTGGAGAGTCCTGAGTTCCGGAGACTCGATTTTACTTCATTGGATCGATTCGTAAAAATATATGTGGTGTATTGTGTGTGCCCAGTGTGGAGTAAGAAAGCTTCCAGAAATGTTTGTGTGCATAGGATAGAAATTTGTGCACGTCTGTCTGTAGTTGAGCATAAAATAAATATTCGTAACTCTCAAATGAGCCCAGTTGTACAGAAAATGTATTATGTGTATTTTATCCATCAGAATACGAATTAAAGTTATAACAGCAAGAATTACAATCACCAAATGAAAATTTACGATTACGCTTTCTTCAGTATGAATACAAATTTACAGACGCGACTCCACTGACAAAAATCAAACACCACTCACACACTATTGAGCAGAAGAAACATCGATCGAGATGCTGCACTTTTGCGCCACATACAGACTGAACCAGGTCTAAACCAGGACTAAACCAGGTCTAAACCAGAACTAAACCAGGACTAAACCAGGACTAAACCAGGTCTAAACCAGGACTAAACCAGGACTAAACCAGGAGTAAACCAGGTCTAAACCAGGTCTAAACCAGGACTAAACCAGGTCTAAACCAGGACTAAACCAGGTCTAAACCAGGACTAAACCAGGTAAACCAGGACTAAACCAGGTCTAAACCAGGACTAAACCAGGACTAAACCAGGACTAAACCAGGTCTAAACCAGGACTAAACCAGGACTAAACCAGGAGTAAACCAGGTCTAAACCAGGACTAAACCAGGTCTAAACCAGGACTAAACCAGGACTAAACCAGGTCTAAACCAGGACTAAACCAGGTCTACTAAACCAGGAAACCGGGACTAAACCGGGACTAAACCAGGTCTAAACCAGGACTAAACCATGTCTAAACCAGGTCTACACCAGGACTAAACCAGGACTAAACTAGGTCTAAACCAGGACTACACCAGGACTAAACCAGGTCTAAACCAGGACTAAACCAGGTCTAAACCAGGACTAAACCAGGACTAAACCAGGTCTACACCAGGACTAAACCAGGTCTAAACCAGGACTAAACCAGGACTAAACCAGGTCTACACCAGGACTAAACCAGGTCTAAACCAGGACTAAACTAGGTCTAAACCAGGACTACACCAGGACTACACCAGGTCTAAACCAGGTCTAAACCAGGACTAAACTAGGTATAAACCAGGACTACACCAGGACTAAACCAGGACTACACCAGGTCTAAACCAGGTCTAAACCAGGACTAAACCAGATTTAAAACAGGTCTAAACCAGGACTGATCTAGGACTAATCTTGGACTTGAGAAAGAGGGAGAACCCCGAGTCCTCAAAGCGCGATCGGGCGACGGCTGCACTTAGCCCCGTGGGGGCGGAGCTCTGTGCTGGTCCTTTCTCCTGCACTCACCCGACGGTCTACACGGGTGCACCCTCGAGCCCGTCCCGACACTCAGTCCTGGTTCAGTCTGTATGTCGATCGATGTTTCTTCTGCCTGTGAAGTGATGTTGTATTTTTGACAGTCAAGTCGTGTCTGTGAATTCATATTCATAATGTGAGATTGACAGGGGGGTCGGTGCAGCGTTGGCAGTGATGTGGTCTCTGTACTGGACCGTTGTGGTGAAGTGGGAGCTGAGTTGAAAGGCGAAGCTCTTGATTTACTGTCAGTCTCTCTTCCTCCCCTCACCTCTGGCCATGAGCTCTGACGAGATCGCGAGTTTCCTCCACATAGTGTCTGGGCGCTCCTTTAGAGACACGGTGAGGAGCTCAGCCACATGGAAGGAGCTCGGAGTAGAGCCGTTGCTCCTCCATGTCGAGAGGAGCAGCTGAGGTGGCGCGGGCATCTGTTCCGGATGCCTCCTGCAGATGAAGAAAATGGACGGATGGTTTGTGGAATAAAAAATGGTCACATTATATTCCTACTAATTGTATTTCTCTGTGACATCTGCTTTATGTTCACACACGCACGCAAAAAAAAGTTATTCAGCACAATGGTATCATTTCAAAATCTGTTGAGCCACTTGGGATTGGGTGGAGAGCTCCTGGTAGCTCCTGCCACAATGTATGTACCTCTGCTTTATTTAATTATTGTATTTGTTTATCTATTATTATTGTGGCCAGTCAGAATAAAGCCTCTATACTGATAGAAGATTTATGTAAAAAAACAAACAGACACACACATACACATTAGGTCCCCATCATTCTGAAAGCCAAAGGTTTAAGATCCAATCAGTTTCTTAGAGCCTCCACTAGAGGGCAGTCGCAGAACAGTCTGCTGCTCTGTGCTGGGTCTGTGCCGTTTCATGGAATCGCACTTAATCATATGAAGCCTTCTCTGAACTGGGCAGTACTCAGTTACATTTTCTCAGTTAAAGTTACAAGAGATGTAACAATAACCAAAATACTGTGATGCTGTATTGTTAAAAGTCACAATAATACCCTGGGCCATCACAATATATCGAATCACAAGTTTCTCTACTTAAGTCATTGTTATGATGCAGAAACAGTAAAAAAAAAAAAAAAAGCAGAGAACTACATAGACCATGATCCTTTGCTCTACCTCAGTCTGATCTACACAGTGTAACAACTGTTATGAAGCACTTTTAAATCTGAATTATTTGGATTATGAAAATATTGTAGCGAGAAATTTGGATGTCATTACAACCCTAGTTTCTGGAGTAACTTTTTAAAGAAATTGTACTTTTCAGAGTTATTTTGTAGCAGCATATATTTGCTCTTACATGACGCTCCTGTTTTTATTGAAGTAACAGTACTTTTACTTGAGTAAAAGTTGTGCTTCCTTTTCCCACTATGTCTGTCTAAAGTGACAAAAGCTTCATGTGACAATCTGAAATGATTTGAACATTTGTGTTTCTTGCTGCTCCTTCAGATCTGAACTTAAGTCACACTCTTCCCAAATGCCCGTGCACTTGAGTCATTTCTGAGTAATATTATTTTGAATGTTACTCTTATTTCAATCGTTTTTCGTCACTCTCCTGCCTCTGGAAACAACTGACAGAGGACTTCACAAGACATCACCACTGTACCTCCACATCTCCACTGCTTTCTCTTCATTCTGCTGAAATATATTTAAATTTGAATAGTGTAACTTGAGGAAAATGTATTTGCTTTGCTTCAATTATTCCAAAGGATGACATGGACACACGCCGGAGTTACAGGTCAGATCTGTGGAGAGGGGGCCCTGCTCATTGACATATGCAGGTTTTAGAGCAATAAAAACTCCCAGAATAAAATATAATGTCATACTGTGGAACATTCCAGACAATATCATCATGGAGACGAGTGACGTGCCACCCACAAGAAAAGTTACATAGTGTGTCTTTAACCACATATAGACCAGGGCATGTTCAAAAGAAAGTGTGGCTGGGACTTAGAGACAGACACCTGAAATATACAGGATTAGGTTCAACAATTTGTGAAAGAAAGTCAAAACTGGTACTAGTACTAGTACCAGTACTAGTACTAGTACTACTGTGTATGTATGTATGTATGTATGTATGTATGTATGTGTATACACATGTATATATACTGTATACATGTATTTTTGGATGTATTCTCTGGTTAATATTCCTGTGGGTCAGGGGGGTACAGGTCCTGGGGCAGGGTGGATTTGGGGCGGGGTGGGTTTGGGGGGTCGGGGAGGTTTGGGTTTAGGGCGAGGTGGGTTTGGGTCAGAGTGGATTTTTGGTCAGGGTGGGTTTTGGTCAGGGTGGTTTGGGGCGGGGTGGTTTGGTCAGGTGGGTTTGGGGCAGGGTGGGTTTTGGTCAGGGTGGGTTTTAGTCAGGATGGGTTTGGGTTGCTGGGTTTGGGTTGGTGGGTTTGGGGGCTGCGTGGGTTTGGGGCTGCGTGGATTTGGGGCGGGGTGGGTTTGGGGCGGGGTAGGTTTTAGTCAGGGTGGGTTTGGGTTGCTGGGTTTGGGTCGGTTGGGTTTGGGCTGCGTGGGTTTGGGGCTGCGTGGGTTTGGGGCTGCGTGGGTTTGGGGCTGCGTGGGTTTGGGGCTGCTGCGTGGGTTTGGGGCTGCGTGGGGTAGTGGGTGATAAGGGTAAAATGTAATTGAAATCGTGTACACATGTGCACATCCCTTCCACTCATGAATACTTAAAAGTTTAATAAAATATTGATCTCAAACATATTGGTACTCGTGTAATCCTGACAGAATACTTACGAAGTGTAAAGTGTATAAAAGTACTAAGAAGAAAAAAACTGTGTATAATAATGCACAAAGTCTGGTCTTTTCAAAGGACAGACACAAAAATTTGACAAACTAAAGCTCTGTAAGAAACACAATTCTCACATTCTTCATTCTCATTTTGCTTATTATGATCATAAACGATAAACTTCTATGTTTCTTTATCATTATTATTACTTTGTACAACCATAATACAGAACAATACAACAACAATATATACAAAGAAATTGGGTTAAAATGATATTTCATATGCAGAGTATGTCATTTATTTTGCTTTATGGAAATATTTGTAAAGTTTCATCATCAATGTACAGAAGGAAATTGAGTGATTATTGCTTCTCTCTTGCCACAAACCTGAAATAAAAAAGAATCAGTCAACACTGTCGACATGAAGCTTTTATCACTTGTAGATTTACTCACTGTGGGAAGAGGAACCCTAACCTTTACACAAGAGTACTGTATTTTTCAGACTATAAGTCACGCTTTTTTCATGGTTTGGATTTTTCCTGCAACTTATACTCCGATGCAACTTATATATTAAAATCTGACAGCCATGAGAGGCTCTAGTCTTGTGTGTCAGTATCTAGTACTACTACAGTATTACTCCTGTACCACTGTCACTTCACACTCTACTGCGCATGTCTCCTGCACAAAAAGCCACTGTCTCGCTGCAAATAGTGAAATATTCAGCCAAAAACAGTAATCGAGCAGCAGAAAGAAAGTTTGGAATGAGGGAGAAACTTGTTAGGGACT